AACATCGCAATCAAATCAATCCCCGTTTAACTGAAGCATCCATTGATACCAAAGAGATGCTCTAAAAAAAAAAAGTGAAAATCGTGTTAGAATCAAAACACTGTGTGCACTCTTTTAATTGGATTTTTGCCAACCCATACGGACAGAACGGGCGGGATACGTGCAAGGAACGAGAGACATGACCCATCTGTGACATGCCCTGGAGCCATGATATGTTGGGTGGAATGGACTGGGGTTTGAGTTTGGGTTTTTGGGCTCTCTGGGTTGGTTTTTCATTTCGGTTGGGATGTGTGCAGCAGGCGCAAGTAATGCGGAGCGTCATTAAAAGCGCACCCGCTTCGGCATTTGGCTTTTCCTTTTTGCCTTTTGCCATTGCCAGTCCGTGTTTTAAATTATGATGAGTCACACACATTGTTGACGTGCTGCATTAACATTCATAATTTCCACATGGCAACGTTCGGTTCACAGAACCGTCGCTGAATCAGTTGACATTTGAAGAGCCCGGCGAAAGAGAGGCTTTTCCTGCATTTTCCTTAGTTCGCTACGCCAAGGAGACTTTCCGCCGGAGTTGCTGGCCAAATTGCAGGAAATTGAATGGGGGGAAAAACAAATATGGCCGCGGGCCTAGACTTTCTGGGAAAGGGAAAGCGCTTGCATCAATGTTATTTCGGTTAGTTGTTGTTCTTGCTACTGTTGTTGTTGTTGTTGTTGTCGATGTTCGTCACACGTTTTCCCGCCAGCCAGGGAAAAAAGGGAGTGAAAAAGCGTCTGGCTCTGTGATTGGTGCGGATATATTTTTTGCATGCCAGTCAATTTCCATTTCCCTGGAGGTGGACGCGTCCTGCGACCTTTTTTTGGGTGGTTGTTTTACCACCTAACAAAATGGCGTTCAGCGGCGTTTGTCGCTTTTTAAGTAGTTTATGAAAAATTAGAAACGGTAGCAGAGCAGAGCAACCCTTTCCAAATACGTTGTCACCAATTTTCCAAGCGAGCGCGCAGTTGACGGCAGGCGCTGAAAGTCATCCAAGCAGGAAGCCAAGACCTAGACCCGGCTTTTAAAACTTAGCGGGTCATATACTCGTATATTTAGGTATATCATACACCTACACCACACCTGTCCTCTGCACTTTTCCATTTCCTCTGGAGCGGCACAAAAAGAAGTTGCATCCTTTCAGGCCATTTCAATGTTCCTATCTACCTGCACTTCTCACCTTTTCCCCCGCCCGTACTCCGGCTCCCAAAACTCAATTCTCACCTCTGCCTTTGCACAATTTTCCTTTTTCTTCGGCTCTGTTTTCGTTGCCTTCAACTGACAATTTATCTCTGGTTGTTTGGCCAGGGAAACAGGGAAACAAGGGGACCAAGGGGTGTTGCGTTAGCAACGTTGTTTTCATTTCGCATGATGGCAGGCGGAGACAGAGTTCCAGACAGGTTGCCTTCAAGGAAGGGCCTAAAACAAATGTGGACCCGCCCGCCTGCCATGTCGGGGTTTTCATTACCTTTTGAGTTTCCATCTTTCCTGCCTGCACTCTCTTTCCTTGCATTTTCTGGTTCTGTTTCTGTTTCTGTTTTCCTTTCATTAGTTGTCAGAGATTGCCGAGTCAGAGATGGACGCGCACCATCATCATCATCATCCTGCGCCCGACCCGGTGCAAAGTGTTTTTAATTCTCTCATTAGTAACTGAAATTACTCCACACCATTCGGTGTGATGGATGATGGTTGGCATGATACGGAGGAGAGAGCTATTTCCGCTGGATATTGTTTGGAAAGATCTTTTGTGGGTCCCTCGCATGCGGGTTTCTTCATTGCAGCCTCTCATTATTAGATTGATTGAACTGAAATTTACTCATAATTTGTCAATCCGTAATGGTTAGTTATTGAAACAGACCTCTAGGGAATAGTAAACAGAGTTAACAGAGCAAAGAGATCTTGGATCGAAGAAATGGTATTTAGAACCAAGTCAACCCTTGCCTTAAGCTTGTTTACGAATGATATATGAGTCTGGTTTACGTAATTCGATGCCATCATTACAATGTTTTCGATTCATGAACTCTTGAATATGTCTCGAATTCACATTACCCAGCCATTCATCTTACATTAGGGGTGTTCTGTTTCAATGACTTTATGCTCTAGTTCATGAATTTGAACCCTCAAAAGTGTCGCAAGCATCGAGTCTGGAGTCAATTCATGGCATTCTTTCTGCATTAATTACAACCATAGAATGAGAAATGTCTCGTATTCAAGAAACTGGCAGCTGGTCTTTGCGCTTTTCTCTCTCTCTTTGTAATATCTCTCCGGTTCTTTGTTTGTGTCGCATAACTAATTAGCAATTAAACATTGCCACTTTCTGACACGCCCCAATTACGCGCATGCGCGACCTCCACGCAACCCATAAAGCGTTTTTTGTTCAGCTCACATGCTAACGGTAAAACGAGGTTTACAGGCGACAAATGTTTGGGAACATTTGAAGTTCTAAAATTCTAAAATTCCTGGGTTCTCTTTGTACCTGACTTGCATATCATTTCACAGGCCACTGAATACGCGGTAGTCCATCAAAACAGAAAAGTAATAAAAAATAGTAAAAACATTTAACACTATGTTGCGCCTGCGCATTTGTTATTTCGAGTGGGTAGCCTGTGAACTATATGTCTGGGCAGCCATTACAACTATTACGACTGCATTCGATAAAGGGTTGACTGGTATATAGAGTTTATATATGTATATAGAGCTAAAGTCATGCTGCTGAGCTTAGAACTGAATGCAAGGTAGAGGGCAACAAAAACAGAAACAGATACGGAGATGACTTCTGGGCTAGATGCATACTCATGTATATACAGAAAGAACCTGTTTTGGGCCTGGGTTTCTCTGGGCACTTACAGTAAACGCTCGTAAATTACAAACACAACTGATTTTACGTTACTCGCTAAGCAAGGAGTAGTTAGCTTTAACTCTCTTTGTTTTAAGGGCTGAGAACAATTTGCGGTTTTTATTTTGTACATAATTAGGCATATAGTCATGGTTTACCATTTTAAAAGTTAGTAAGTCTGCATTTATATTATGTTTGCTCTTTTTAGTTTTCCGTTCAAGTTATGTGGTTTCTATAAGAATACTATTAACTATTTCGGATTTAATCAGTAAACCCACTCCTCCTAAGTTGTATGATTTCGTAGACCCTTTCTTTTTAAACTCGAACTCTGTTTTCTTTTCCAATTGTACAAACACAAATGTCTTCTACTCATGACACTTTAATCCAAAGTGAATCATTTTCCATTGGACTAATTAAACAAAGACCTCGCCTGCTCTCTCTCTATATAGTCTGCTATACGAATATGTATATATTTATGCATATATATTGAAGTATATTTGGACTCGTGTGTGCTTTTCTAATATTGAAATGAGTTTGTTGCGTTGTTTTCTCAGATGCCCGCATCCCGATGCCATTTTAGCTCGTCAAGCGATAGAGTTGTTGGGCCACCGCCTAAGCCGCCCATTGCCATGCTTTAGGGCGGCGGGATGGGCTGTCAATCCAATTTTAATGAAATGTGTTACTTCGATTCCCAGGCGCAATTAATTTGAAATGTTTCAGTTGAGCAGGCACAAGCCGCACTCGAATTTTCTCCCCCCTTTCATCTCGTGGCCCGCATTTATGTGCAATTCGCATAAAACATATTTTCAGGGCATTCCAGAGCTTTGGTCAATGCTCCTGATGTTTCTACGGCTACTCCTCATCTTGCTGGCTTTCAACTCTTTTTTGTGGACTGAAACAAAATACGTTAAAATAGTGTGTGGAATAATATTTGTGTATTAAAGTCTGACATTCCTATTCCTTCAATGTAATTTCTTTAAAGATATTTAAAATTCAAACACAAATAAGTTCATATGTTTTATTTTCCTAAGAACCCACTTTGTTTTCCCAGTGTACTTCTGCTCCATGTAGTTTGTGTCAATTGTTTGAGCCTGAATTGTTTTGGCAAATGTTTGAAGAGCAGCCACAGACACGCACACATAAGCGGGAGTATCTGTGTGTGTGGATGAGGGAACAGATCCCTAGGCTCATTGCACTCGTTTCTACTGCATCATGCAGTATACAGTACGTAGTGCACCCCCTAACCACCCTCTTTCATCCAGGTTGAGCTGAGCCAACTTCCGGTTATGAACCCGGAGCACCTTTCGCATTTCGCATTTGGCATTCGTAGTGCAATTCCTATTCCCATTCACGTTAACGGTTCAGTTGCTCAGCTCATACTCATACTCATGCCCATGTCCATACCCCTATCCCAATCCCAATCCCATTCCTTCCGTGCACTCATGGCTAAGTGCAGTGGCTGGCATACTCCGTTTTTCAAAATTAGTTGGCAACGCAAACGAGCAGTGGCCCAAACAAAATGCTTTACTTGTTAGAGGTCATTAACGCTGCCATTGTTTTGTGCCGGGCGCCTGGCATAGAGCATGGACAACTGGAAAAGGTCACCCGCAAGTGGCAACGGATGTGCCCCGGGTTGGCTCATTAAAATCGGATTTTTGACTCTGCCCCCGCTGCACAAACACAATAGATTGCGCCCCGAGAGCGTTTAGAGCTGCTCCATTAATGGCCAGTGGATGTGTTCGCACTTGAACGCGCATCGCTTAAATAGCGGATAAGATTAAACCTATAATGGAAATGATTTAACCACCGCACTCAAATGAGCAATCGTCTATGTTGACACTTAGTATTATGGCTTTTAAGGCAACTAAAAGATCGATTTTACATGAACGTAATAAAAACAGCTAACTATGAGTAGTAGTATAACTTCTTATCAGGGGTCTTTTCTCAAACCACCAGAATTCTCAGAATAACATAACTTTAGATATGAATTGCATTTTGTATTTACAAAAGATAAGAATTATATTTCTTTTTAAATACGGGCGTATTGATTAGTTTAAGATTTGTATACTTTGTATCTTTAATATTAAAAAAAACAGATTACTAATATAATATATTTCCTTATATTGCTTGCAGATAGCGCAACCTATGTGGGCAACACTCTGCGTATCAAGTCGGTGAAGAAGGAGGATCGCGGCACCTACTACTGTGTGGCTGACAATGGAGTGAGCAAGGGCGATCGGCGTAACATTAATGTGGAGGTGGAATTCGCTCCAGTGATCACCGTGCCACGTCCACGATTGGGACAAGCATTGCAGTACGATATGGATTTGGAGTGCCACATCGAGGCCTATCCGCCACCAGCCATCGTTTGGACCAAGGACGACATCCAGTTGGCCAACAACCAGCACTACAGCATCTCGCACTTCGCCACCGCCGACGAGTACTCCGACTCGACGCTCCGTGTGATCACCATTGAGAAGCGCCAGTACGGTGATTATGTGTGCAAGGCCACCAATCGCTTTGGAGAGGCGGAGGCGCGCGTCAACCTCTTCGAGACGATCATCCCCGTGTGCCCACCTGCCTGCGGACAGGCGTACTTCGCTGGAGCTGAGGATGTAGCCGCCACATCATTCGCCCTGGTGGGCATCCTTGCGGCACTGCTCTTCGCCAGATAAGCCAATAGGCCCACGGCCGCCGACTCCATACGCTCCAAGTCCAATTCCATCAACCAGCCCTCGAGTGCATAAACATATATAAAGTAGATATATCGAAAAACACACATCGTATAACCGCGCAATAGATGTCTCAAACGATTCCAGAAAACATACCCATCTCCAGTTATCAACTCGTTTTGTAGCTTCTGCTTCCGTTTCCGTTTAGTCCAGCCCAATTTTCGTACGTCCAATATTATGTCTTAAGTTAAGTATGCTAAGTGAAGGGCCAACGATAACTAGAACTATAATTTATTAGCACCTTAGAGCCAAACTCAATTCGAATCCAACCCAGCCGACCGCAAACGATGCATTTCACCTCAACCCCGTCCGTTTTGCTTTCTGATCTGGCACTGTATATGTTTTAAATATTTTTAACCTAAGCAAGATACATCACACAAGCATTCCGATTTTGCTTCGACAATTGAGAGAATATTTTATTTTTTATTTAATAAATAATAAAGTATTTTCGTAGCCCAAATCTGACAACTCGACTAACTATCCCCTAAGAAGAAAAATCCCCTCATCCCCTTAATCGAGGCAAAATCCATATTCGAATAACAGGCAACAAAAGTTGTGTACATTATTAGCTCTTAAGCAAAATGACAAAATTCTTTTGAATAATAAGACAAATTATGCCCAAATTTTTGTGTGGGTGTGAGTAAAATCAATTTCGACTTTGTAATAAAAAACGACAAAACACAAAATTTAAATTAACAAAAAAATCAATAAAAATATAAGAAAAACATACAAGGAACTGTTTTCATTTCAGTATTTAACAAGAAATTAATGTAATAATACAAGTTTGTAAATGAGAACGATGCAGTGATCATAGAATTAATAACAGACTTAATTAGGCTGGGTCCTAGACGAACCCCCGTTGGTGACCATACGATAATAGAGATTAAACTCGGCTTCGTAGTCAGCATAGCTGCCATTTTTATATAGATTTCCAGGAGGGACATAACGACGCAAAGGATTCTCAAGTAGGAAGTGGTAGATGCGCTCGGCCTTTTCCAGCTGCAATTGGGTCTTCACCCCAATGGCCATCAGATTGTCCAGCAATTGGTCAATTTCCTCGTGTTGCCGGCTCGCCTTCAGTCTCAAATCATGCGGATCAACTGGGGGCAGGGAGATATTTCTCAGTCAGGCGGATATGGGACAAAATGTCGGAACTGAGCTTACCAATTAACGGCTGCAAATTCAATTTCAAGTCAGACAAGTGTGCGGCAATTGCCGACGCCCACAAAATGCGTTTACGGACTTCCTGCAAGGCGCCGAAGGGTGTTAGCAAATAGCCGGGTGCCAATTGAACAGTGGATGCTAGCTCCTGGGCCTCGACAATGAGTGGATTGGCCGACAACAGGAAGGAGCTGTCAGAAAAAACATAAACTCTTAGTTAATTGGAAATATGTTCTTCTAAGTGAGAAAGGTGCTCACCAGGCACGTGGCATGCAATTGAACTTCTCCAACGGAATTTCCAAAAAGGTATTCAGTTCCAGCAAGTGCGAGGGTACAGTGGCCCCGGATGCAACCATCAGTGTGGTGGAAGCTGCTCCTCCCGGCATCATAGTTTTGTTGTCGAAGCTGCGACGCATAGTTGAGTTGATTGTGCTGCAATTCCCATCAAACTCGACCTTAGTGCTGGAGAACACGCTATCGTTTGCCAGGCAGAAGCTCTCCGATCCCAGCATAGACATATTGCTGACCTTTAGCTTAGTGCTCATTAGCTGAGACTTGGCGTTTTGCTTTTGTGTGGCCGCCTGCATGTCATCCAGAAGGTTTTTCATCATATTACGCGAAAAGAGGATCTTCTCTTTGATCTGCGACAGCTGCATCATATCCTGCTGGATGCGATTGATACTGGCGTTGATGTCACCATAAACCTGTTTCACAGAACCAAGCTTTAAATCGTGGTTTTCGAGATGTTTTGCGCCAGCATCAAGCTCCAAACGCAGTTGCTCGATCTGGTCGCGCAGAAATTCGTTTTGGGCGCGATTAAAATTGCGCATATTGTATTGCACTAGATAGTCGCTTATTAGTTCATCGGCATTCTCTTCATCGCATAAGCTTATCCCGTTGAAGCTATACACCTTCGTTTGCAGCTTATCCACAAAGACGCTGTAGTCTCTACAGAAGCGTTCCTCATTCTTTTCCAGCTCTTTTTGGGCCCCGAAGAATTTGGCCGCCAGACCCAGCATATCGGCTTTTGTTTTTAACAACTTCACCTCGTAGTTATTCAATGGTGGCTTGGACGTAGCACATTTGTTCTTTGTTTCATTCAGATGCATTATGTTTTGCAGTTGCTCCTCCTTGATCTTCATTATGACGTTCAAGAGCAAGGCGTTGGGAATATCGGCAAAGGTGGTCCTCATTTCATTCCAAAGGCGCTGCTTGGCATCTGGTAAACTGTGTACCGAATTGCCATCATCACACATTCCGTAGAAGGTCTCCAGCTGTTTCAGTGCCTGCTCCACGGCCCGGGTCGCCTGCACCTCACTGGCATTCTTGGAACTGAGCCTGACGGGCGTGTTGGCCAGAATTTGGGATTTATTGTTCAGCTCCTGGTCGTAGTTCTTGTTGAGCGATTCCAGCTTTAGCTCAAGGATATTGCATTTAGATTCGAGAAGCTGCTTTCGGTTCTCAGCACTGATGGTTTGAATGTCTGTGGGACACAGGATTCACAGGGTTAGATGAAGGGTTTTATTAATTTGTATTTTTTACCCACTCTTAGCCTTAATGCTGACGGATTGTTTTTGGTATTCCTTTCTGGTGTCCGCCAGTTGCTGATCCACCTTCTCCTTGTGCTTCTTAAGCTCCTGTATTTTATGGTACCTCTGAAGCTCCGGTGGCTGAAAACTCCGTGAAGCCAGCGGTGCCATCTTATCCTTATACCGGGCTACTTGGGCAATCAACAGGTTCTCACGCACCTCACGAACATATTCCACCGGATGTATTCGGGATTGCAGCTGGTTGAGAAGCAAACTCGAGCCTGACTTGAAAATCCTTTGGAGAAAACGCCGTTTTGGTCCAATGTTAGTTTGGAAATTTGTATTTTCACTATTAGTTACCTTCGGAGCGCATCATCGGTGGGTATAGAAGTGGGCGGACAGCCCAGGCTGGTGGCCCAGTTCTTAAAATCTGCGATTTTCTCTTGGTAAGTCATGTTTCCTATTTAATTCGATTCTTTGCAAAAAGGCGCAGTTGTTTAAACCGGGCATTCACAAACACAAGCAAATCAGACAGAGCTGGCAACTTTCTGCGATTTCTTTACAAGTTGGCAGCTTCATTAACGGTCATTTAAATTTAATCTTCTGTTCATTTTTTTTAAAAGTACGAACTTAGATTTAAATTATTTAAATCTTTTCTGCCTTAAGATTGTTATTAATCCCACAAGTAACTTTGTTTCTAATTGCTACATATTTACATTATAACATATAAGTCCAAATTAGCTTAGTTTTCGGTCACTATAAAGGGAACCAGTATTCTTCCGAAATAATAATATTTATTTATGTTTACAACATATTTGATAAGTTTTTATACATTTAAATGCTTTTGCTTAGTTTTTCCGTTTTTTGGTCTTTTAGTGTTGGAAAACACATACCTTGGAAAACAGCTGTGGGCATGAATAGCTAAATTAGCTAATTTATTCCCTTAGTAGTGATATAATTCCAGCGCTATTATAAATATATGATAAATGTAATCATAAAAACCCATAAGATAAACCCATTGATAAATTTTAATTCAATGTTGTTGTCAAATTAATTTATTATTAGCGTTTACTAAATATACCTTTCTTCTAGCTATTTAGTAGCTAAAAACTATGCTGCACTGACTATAACGATTCGTTCGTTGAGTAGTGTTGTAAAATCACCGCTGTCTTTTGAGCGGCGCACGTGGAGCAAAATCAAAGTGCTCACGTTTTTATTAAATTCTGCTCGAAAAAAACGAATAAATTAAATTAAAAATATGGGTCGCAAGGCTGAGTACAGTGATAAACCGAAAAAGGGACCTGGCCGAAAGGCGCGAAAGCAGGGAGCGCCCGTTTTCCGCAAACAATCGTTCGGTGAGTGCGGGTAAAGATTTGCCTCGACTTACATTTGTAAATTTCAAATGTTTAATCTTACAGCTCCCATGGAGGAGGAAGAAAAGAAACTTTCCCACCGGCAAAAGCAGCGATTCGTCAAGAGGGAGCAAAAGAAAGTAGTCCAAAAGGCCAAACTGCAGGAGAAGAAGGCTAAGAGTAAACTGCCGAAACCAGCAAAGCGGAGGACGGCTTACAACAGCGACAGTGATCCGGAGGATAATGAGGAGGAGGTGCAGCAGCAGGAGGCTGCATCCGATGAAGAGGTGCCTCAATTAGTTCCAGCTCCCAAAAGCCAAAAATCCGCCGCTCCCAAGGGATTTACAGATGACAACGATGCCTGGTTGAAACCCAAAAAGCAGAAGCAACAAGTGAAAAAAACAGAAACGGAGTCTGAGGATGAGGATGAAGATGAGGATGACGATGAAGACTTGGGGGATGACTCCCAAGATGAGCTAGAAGACGACTCCGAAGGCGAGGAAGGCCTTGAAGACGAAGAATCCGGTGAAGAAGAGGAGGATGACGAAGAAGAAGATGACTCTGACGATAACACCGCACAAGTTGGCAAGCTAGCCGATTTCTCCGATGATGATGGGGGCAACTCCGACGATGACTTTGATATTTCCGGTGAAGAAGATGGTGCCGAAGCAGACAGCGATGAGGAGGATGATGAGGACGATGAAGATGATGACGATGATGATAAGTTGCCCATTGAGCGCGCCAACAAGAAGCTTAAAAAACGCGAAGCTAAGGAAGCCCAGGAAGCTGACGATGAAATGTTGGAAACTGTTGATCGGCAGGATGTTTTCCAGCTGCCTAATGACGACGAAGAGGCCGAAAAGGACCTTACTTTACAGGAGGTGCAGCAGCGCATAAAAGACGTTAGTTTGGTACTTTCCGACTTCAAAAAGTACCGCCAGGCAGATCGGTCTCGCGGAGAATACATCGACTTGCTGCGCCGCGACCTGTGTCTTTACTACAGCTACAACGAGTTTTTGATGGAGAAGCTGATGGATATGTTGCCTTTAACTGAGCTTATGGAATATCTGGAGGCCTCAGAGGTTTGAATACTTCTAACGACAGGTGCTTAAAAGATAAATACTAATCAATTTTACTTTTTAGATTGCTCGTCCGCTGACCATTCGAACCAATACTTTAAAAACCCGTCGTCGGGACTTGGCCGGCGCTCTGATCAATCGCGGCGTCAACTTGGATCCCCTGGGCAAGTGGACTAAAGTGGGATTGGTCGTTTTTAACTCGCAAGTGCCACTGGGTGCCACACCAGAGTATTTGGCAGGCCACTACATGATCCAGGGAGCATCCTCGCTGCTGCCCGTGATGGCACTCGCCCCGCAGGAGAACGAACGCATCCTAGACATGTGTTCTGCCCCTGGTGGCAAGGGGTCCCACATTGCTTCCATCATGAAGAACACGGGTACGCTATTCGCCAACGATTCCAACAGAGATCGTATCAAGGCCATTGTGGCTAACTTCCATCGGCTGGGAATTGTAAATGCTGTGGTTAGCTGCGAAGATGGTACCAAACTCCGTGGTATTATTAGTGGCTTTGATCGTGTCCTGCTAGATGCTCCCTGCACAGGAACTGGCGTCGTCTCCAAGGATCCTAGTGTGAAGACAACCAAGTCGGAAGTTGATGTGCAGCGGTGCTACAACCTGCAGAGGAAGCTCCTCCTTACTGCCATCGATTGTACGAATGCGAATTCATCGTCCGGCGGCTATATTGTGTACTCCACTTGCTCAGTGCTGCCCGAGGAGAATGAATGGGTGATCGATTATGCGCTGAAGAAGCGAAATGTCAAGCTTGTACCCACTGGTCTGGACTTTGGAGTCGAGGGCTTCACAAAGTTCAGACAGCATCGGTTCCATCCTAGTTTAAACCTCACCAAGCGATACTATCCACATACCCACAATATGGATGGATTCTACGTGGCCAAGTTGAAGAAGTTCTCGAACACCATACCCATTACAAAGGAGCAGCAGGAGGAGGATGAGAAGCAGCTTGACGAGGCCATCGCGGCTGAGGCCACCACAGAAAGTACCGAGGAGCCTAAGGAGGAGGAGGAGGAGGGGGCAACAAAGGGTCCACGAAAATTGCTCGGTAAGCGAGCTGGTAAACCTAGTTTCACCGAAATTGAGCAGGAGCTGAAGAAAAAGAAGCGGGAGGAGAGCAAAACCAAGTATGTGGCCAAGGTATTTGAGCAGCCCGTAAAGGCGCCCAAAAAGCCAAAGCCGGAACAGCCCGCAGAGAAGAAGGAGAAGAAATCCCAGGCACCAGTAGAGAAAACAAACGGAAGTGAGGCACCATCGAAACCTGCGGAAAAGAAGAGCCAAGTCAACGGCAATGCTGCAGCTCCCAAATCAAATGCCAAATCATTCAAGAAAAAGAACCAAGCAGCAGCACCAAAGGAAAACGGAAACGATTCACCAATCAAACCAGTGGGAAAAAAGTCCACAACCACCGTCACTAATTCACCTTCCAAGCCTTCAGCACAGGAACAGAAAACGAAACCGCAGCAAAAGGTGGAACAGCCGGCGAAAGGCAAGCCATCCAAACTAGCCAAGGCACCGCGAGTGGATATTGATGATGTACCCATTCTGGAGGGCAAGCCTATCAAGAAGCAGAACAAGCTGAAGCAGAAATCCAAGCAGATCGGCCAGTTGAAAAAGTCCAAGACGGGTGCAAACGCGGGAAAGAAGCAAAAGTTCAAGAAGTGAACACCTTAGATCCAGTTTGGTTAAGTAGACTTTAAGCCTGTATAGTTGGGGTAGTCCCAACATGATTACCTGTTTTATATTGAGAACTGTCTTAGCTTTGGATTGAAGATTGAACTACAACAGTGCTGTAATTACCAATCAGATTCAATAAACACTAAGCTCAGATGAATGTAGTCACGAATCTGGTTTATAATATATTATATCGGTGGAATTGTTCTACTTTTCAGAAAAGAAGCTTTGTGTTGTATTGATTGAGTTATCAGTTCCAGTACCAAAGCTTTATAGGCAGAACAAAGGTGTCCAAGCTCAGCCGAGCTTAATTATTTTTTTCAGTACGAGTCAAACAAGCAACATGCAGAGTTTACTTCTGCTGTGCTCCTGCTTAACTGCATCATTAATCTTAATCGAAGCGGAAGTAGATATCAACATTGCTACGGCAAACCAGATTCACAAGAATCTCAATAGAACAGTTTCACCCTGTACAGATTTTTGGAATTTTGCCTGCGGAGGTTTTGTAAATAACTCGAAATATGTTGACAACTTTGAGTGGGTTGAGGATCAGTTTGCTAGTGCCATGGTGGAGTTCATGGAGAGCAATTTGGGTGAAGACGACAGCCGGACTCCGAGACTGATTCAAAAAATGCGATCGTATTACAAAGCCTGTAAGGAGGATAAACAGAACGTTAAGACAAGCGATCCTTTAGATGAACTCACAGATTGGTTGCCGGGCTTTAGCAAATTCCTCGAGCACGGCTTGAACGGAGTATTCTTCGATGAGCGCGTTGATGTGGCTGCAAATGATTCCACACGTCTGGTTATTCAGATAAAGATGCCGGAGTTAAGTGCCAGTTATAGTGCCCAACGTGCAGAGAGACTTTTACGTTTATATAAACTAGAGGATGAGGATGTGGTCAGAAGATTGATAAGGAACTTGCAGGAACTGCAGGATAAATATCGTGTCGAGAATCCTGTTGTATTTACATTCAATTACAGTGAAATTAAAAAGCAAATTCCCTTAATTGAATGGAATTCCATTTGCAGTCAACTACTGGGTGAAAATCATACTTCGGAGGAGTTGGATCAACTTCTTTTCGAGGTCAGTGATATGGAATACCTACAAGAAATTTCGCAGTTCTTAGCGAATTTAGACAGTCGCCACATAAACATGTATCTCCGAACACGCCTCTTTGTTTTCATTGAAGAGTCGAAACCTAGAGAACGTAATCCAAAGTCGTGCATTCATCACATGCGTGCTATTCTACCGCTGGGCATTAATTATATCTACGATCGTTTTGTTTACCAAAATCGAGACCAGGATACCCGTGATGTAGACAAGATTTTAACCCACTTAAAGAAGACCTTTGACATATACCTGAGTGCCAATCGCCTGAAGCTTACAGCACATCAATTAACTTATGTCAGAGCCAAATTGAAAGGCATTCAGCTGAAGGTGGGAAATTTACCTGAGGAAAAATCTGACGAATTCTATGATAACCACTATGAAAGTGCCAATTTTAGCGACTCAAGTTTCCTGGCCAATCTTTTTCAAGCCTTGGCTCTACGAACCCGACAACAGCATGCGGGCCTCCTAAATCCGGAATCCAAACTGGATCTGAAACGCTACTATGTCAACGATAATGTTGTGAAGGCCCGAACTTCTCCTTTTTATGAAAACGAAAGGAACACCATCACTGTACCAATGGAATTTTTGCAATGGCCTTTGTTCGATCATCGGCAGCACTCAATCTTCCGACAGAGTCTTTTGGGAGCAGTTCTTGGACACGAGATGAACCACGCCTTCGAGCAGGAAGGCATCCTCTTCGATGCCGCCGGAAATGAATCACTTGTTGGTTTAGAGATCAGGGAATCGCTAGCCTTTCGTAATGCCCTCAAATGTGCAGAGGGCAAACCTTTTGTTTCCTTAAAGGAACGCCTGGCTGATATTAATGGTCTTCAACTGGCCTACGACTCCTTCTTTGGTTTGGATCATGATTCCCGGCTATTCGAATACCGTCCGTATGCCTTTGAATCGGAGTTCACAGCCCCGCAATTGTTCCACCTGAGCTATGCCCAGTTCTTCTGCGGATCCCTGCCTCCGGTGATCGCCCATGATCGCGATGATGAGCGTGTGAACGTAAGCGTTGGCAATTTGCGTCAATTTGCATACGACTTCAAGTGCGAGACGAGCGACTCGTCCATCTGCGAGATGTGGCGTTCACGGGAGGAGACTGTTTCCACTTCAAATGGGCATCCATAACAATAAAATGTAATACAAAATATGTCTCGATGAAATGGGGAATTCTTTGAAAATGTTGGTATATTTTTTATAAATATTTTAAGGCTTTCTAAACTGAATGTAATCTAATTTTATAATTTGTTAGCACATAAATAATACGGTATCTTGCTAACTAAACTTCACGAAATCAGTTCAATAACAAACTAAAATTCCCTCACAACACAAGCTAGCTGATGGGTATTAGATGTCTTACTCCTGTTGAAAGTGGACAAAACCCATTTGGCGGGCCATTCAGCTTGAGTGTCAATTGCAGCTGACAGGCCATCGAAATTGCAATCACAATAACAATCGCGGCAATCGTCAATTGAATGCAAATACCGCAGAAAATGCCGGTCTCACCGGAGAGCTTTTCACACTCTCTCTCTCTCTCTCAGTTGCTCTCTCTTATTTTCTATTTCTCCCCATGAGCTTTTCAACTTGTTGCGGTAGTTGACTTCAACTGGTGTTGTATCCTGCATTGTTGTAGTGTCGGTGTATGCGGTTTGACTTTGCTGCTGTGTTGGTGTGCTTTTCCTCAAAGCTCGCATTTTCATCCGCCCCGTTGGCCGCAGTTTGGCGCTGTCTTTGGCCGCCTTTGGACGCGTGTGCCGCCGAGTCGCCAAAACGTCGCCGTCACACTCTTTGGACTCGCCCGTAATCTTGGCCGGGCTGTTGCTCCTCCGATTATCTCGCCATCTCGAACACAGAGCGCAGCATCCGCGAAAAACACAACAAGCGCCGCAGGCTTAATTCCGTTTTTCGTCTCAATTTTGTTGTTATTCTTGTTATTTTCTCCGTTTAGTTTGATGTTGTGTTTTTTTTGCGGGAAGTATTTGATGTCATCTAAAATTAAACGTGTTCCCAAGTTCCTAAAAAATGTGTCATTCATTCCGCGCGATCGTGCGTGTGTGTTAAGTAATGCAAACAAATAAATGATAATGATAAAAAGGTGATAAACGTTTAAAGCTTTGAACAAGAAAAAAAGAGGTGCAAAAAAGCAAAAAGAAAACCCCATGTGAGTGCGAGAGGACGGGGGCGCTAATTCGAGAATTCACCAGTTAATACGGGGCAGCGTGAGACCCAAGACCCTGAGACCCTGACCCCAAGAACGATTCCAAACATCCCAAAAGATTCCTCGGCGGGTGCATAACGAATTAGGTAAATACTTACTGGACTCGACTGCCGGGGCCATAAAAACATTCCGCAAAAATAAAAAAATTTAAAAAAGCCATGGGGTGGCGCACTGGTTTCAAATCCAAATCCACAACCGAATCAAAATCCAAGTGGTGATGATCACTTAGCAGCTTGCTCCCATTAGCAAACAATGGTGAAGTCCGCAAATAGACTTTAAATTGAAGAATAAACGTCTGATTAGACTCAATGGCCGTCGGATTATCCGCTGCCACAAAAGGCGAAAACAAATTACTGAGGTGAAAGGGAGAGGGTGTGCAGGGAGTAAAATATAATTTTTTACTTTTATACGTGTATCTGAAAAACTACCAGTAAACCACATTTCTATTTATTTTTTCTCTTTTCCAAAACTAAATAAAATGCATCAAGTCAATTTCAATTTAAATCCGGAATTTAATAGCTTTATTTATAAAACCAAATACTTAGAAAATGAAGCAAAAATATATTTTAATTAAAAATTCCCATTAAAGATAGAAACATTTTAAAATATTTTGAATGAAACTTAAATATAGAATTTTTGATATGGCTAATGTGTTCAATATTTCTACGAGAGAAATTGCAATGCATATAGATGCGGTTGGATTGGGGGAAAGTGATGCCAAAAATATTTCGTTTTCTCTGTCCAGGACTGGATTCGTTGCTAGTTTCGCCTCCGCTTGATTTTATTTCATATATGCAAATGTTTTTGCTCCATTTGCATGTTTACGACTCGTTTTATCCGGATAAGAAGAGCCTCGAGGTGCTTGGGGACATCATGTCCTGTTCTCTACATGCCCGCCTACTTTGCTTATCCTTCCAGCTCTCTCTCCCTCCCATTCTCTGTTTCCTGCATCCTGCACTGGGATTTTTTTTTAATTAATTCCTATCCGGCAGGATGGGCATCCTCCCGCCTTCACTTAACTGCATTGCAAAATGTTCTGTTCTGTTCTCATGCATATTTTAAATCTGCACCACGCCCGCATCCCCACATCCACATCGACGCGGTGTTGTTGTTATTGGGCAAAGATAAACATTTGTAATATTCACCCTTTATATTCGCCAGTTCCACTCGCACTCCCCGATTCATTAGGCCGCCCCCGCCGTTTGGGTCCCCCGAAAAAAGATAAACAGGGTATAAAAACACCGTCTGGGTTCGGGACTCAGCAGGGCGCAAATTGTTTGCGACTCTTCAATATGAATTGTTAAGTAAATACGAAAATTTAATTATACTCGATTGTAAGAAGGCGAAACAAGCGGAAAATGTAACTGCGGGAAAACTTTTTTTTCGGAGGGGTGGGCTAAAATTAGCAAATGGCTTTCGAGTGTAAGTACGCCAATTTCGAGTGGCATTTGTTCGATCTGCTAACTCTAAATGCACTTTATGTGTTTGCAACTAGTTGATATTGTTGCCTTGCCCTTTGTAACACCCTTTTCTAGTTCCAATGACCTTTACACATGGACAAAAAATGTAGTAATATCCCATCCATATCAAGTTTGATTGATATTAGCTGTTTGTTGATCAAACCAAATCTTTATCATATCACAAATCATTTTGGTATTCAATATATAGGTCATATTTTGTGTCATAAATACAGAATAAATATCAATATTAGATGAATATTTTAATCTCTTCAGAATCATATTAAAGCGCTTTGAGTCAACCCTGAACAATTTTTAGGATGTTATATTAAATATTTATCACTTTCCCTACCTAAAAAACATCTTTACAATATATGTATATCATATTTTGAAGTAGCTCTTCAGTATTTATGCTGACCTTAGAGTGCTGCTAATTAACTATGTTAATTGATGATTAGTCAGATATTTTTCGCTATATCTCCCCGTCAAGAGCCACTGTTTACAGAGCGTTTTTTCTCCCTCCCGCATTTAGCTAATTGAATTTGAATTTTCTAATAAGTATTGATTGCTCCCATAGCAGCTGCTACTAGTTTGCTCACCACGATGATGCTGGCGGGTTGTCTACCTGTGCCTTTATCTATCTACCCCCTTCTGCAGTCAGTGAGCTGCTGCCTGGAGGGCTTTCTGCCATAAAACAGATAAAGCAAACTTTGCATGAACTCATGAAATTTTAAAATTACATCATGTTTATGTATCTGGGCGTTTGTCTGTAAGTGGGTGGCATTATTATGCACGTGTTTTTGGGCATCTCCATGACTCCTTGCCCCTGGATCCGGCAAGCTACTCTCCCATCCACTCCACTCCAATTTGCCATGCAACAGGCAATAAAATGTCCGCAGGTAACGTTGCCAAACTTGAATGAAAATTGCAAACGAAAAGGGAAATATTTTTGTTTTATTCTTACTTTATTCAACTTTCTGTTTGGGCAGGGCTAAAAACAACTTTACGATTCCCTACCACCTTGCAGATCTGAAGCTTCGTGCGAGTTCAAAGCATCTTGAGAATTTGTTATGCCGTTGTAAGCCAATAAAATTAGTGAGCATGTGAAATGAAGTCGTCTGGCAACGCGGCGTATGCTTGATATTGGTCCCCATTGCTCATACGCCATGTGCCCAGTTCTTTTTCTCTCCCCTCTTGTTTTTCTCTCTTTTGCAAACTGTGTTTGGTTTCGTTTCAATTTTCTTTTAATTTGTAAACTTTCCCCTGCATCGGTGTGGGTGTTCAATGTGTTTTGCTTGGCCTTAGTGTTCCTTGTTTCACGGGGTGATGGTCAAGAGGATAAGGATGACGGAGCTTATGACGATGCTTGGAATCCATCTATTTATTTGCTTTTGCCTGGCCAAAACCATAAATATCGATATGATAGCGCCTGAATGCGCTTGCCATTCCATTGGGTTCGATTTAATTCGCCTCGATTCGATTCGTTTCGATTTGATTTGTCCGCCAGCTGACGCTGTCGCTGCCGCTGCCGGTGACTTCTGACTTCCATGCACGCTTCGCTGGGCGGGCTCGTTCATTCATAAAGCTTCTGCCTTCCTGCTGGCCCATAACTTTTATTACTGTTCGTGTTTTTCAGTACATTTCATTTACGTGGTTTTTATCACGCAGCGGCACTGTCATATGGCATTGGCTTAAAGTCTTTTAATTGATGCGAAGATAATATAATTTTGCACTGTGGGAAATGTCCTAAATGGTATATGAGATCTTCATTCATAAAGTAACTTTTGACAGATCAATTAGGTATAAATATTTTCTTTGTTCTTTCTTCTATTTCCTATAATAATTCTTGTAAAATCTCTTTTTTAAGTGTGGCTTTTAATTAGGCTGAAAAAGGACTGTCAATTTCAGGGCAATGATTTCATTATTCATTCATAGATTTAATTTATGAGCATATGATTTTCAATGGAAACATTATTCTCAGATGTTTTATTGTCACATTAAAAACATGTGGAAATTGTTTGCTTCATAATTTTCCGCTTCTAGGTATTCTGAAGTCAAATGTTTATATGAAATTATGTTGCGTAAGCATAGTGTAGTGTTAGAGTAATCCTAAGTTGACTGAATTTATATATTTATGAATGACTAAACCATTCATATTGACTAGTATTTTTCCAAGTGGAATTATTAAAAATAGGGAAGTTCCTTGTATTATTCCTGCAATTTCATTGCAATAGTTTCGTTATTAATCGACCAATTTTGATGGCCCAACGCGCATGCTACGGATTGCATGTCCGTCTTCGTTAGCCTTTCCATTGCCCACATGCCGATTGCCAATTAATTTTCATTTGTTTTGACACTCTATAAATCATCGTAGCCGCAGTAGAACAGAGCGCGTTTTTAGAGAGCAGTGTGCAGTAGTGGCTAGCGAATGTTAGGCATACGCCCTGTTGCACCAATGGTAAAGAGATGACTCGCCAACGATTTATCTGACCAAAACTGGGCGCTATTATTATTTACATTGGTCAAACATTTGAAATGTTTATTTGACTGCTGGGCGGCTAATTGTGGCGCATTTAAGGCCAGATTAGACGCCCATTCCATTGGCTCCAAATGACACGGATGCTGATTATTCCGTTGATCATGGCGTTGATCATCATCATGGCGATAACCACAAGCACGCGCTCGTCCAAATAATGCGCTTGTTTGCCAAGCCCATAAATAAATCGCTGCCTCTTTTTTTGGATGGAGAGCTTAAGATTGTGGCATGACTACTTCTATGCCAGATGTTTGGCCATTTCGGGATTGAAGGCAAATATTTGAGCAATGAAAAGGGAGCTAGCGGTGGAACGAGATTTGAGGCATTTGCAGAGATGGAAAGCGAAGGTCATTGCCAGGATCTGCTTTCATTTTAATTGAATCCTTACACGGAAAACAAATAGCTGAAGGGAATTTATGTTAAATAGGAAAAGCTTTCTGGATTTTTGCCTATAAAAAACCATAGAAATGATTTCAAGGAAGCCTTGGCTAAAATCGAAAACGTAGAAAATCTTTTAACAGTGACATTTTTCAATAATGGATATTCTACTTTTCTTATTTTTAGCTTAAGCTTGGAACTTCCTTATTAAATTCTAAAATCATATTGATATCATCTATTTATACGAGTTTATTTGTTATGAAAATACAATCTGTCTTAAACCCAAGATAGCTGTAATTTATTAATAAGTAAAAAAGGACGGGCTATCAATTTCACTTGAGTTTTTTTGGTACAATTTTGTAGGTACTTTCAAAGGTCATAAAGAGGGAAATAATTTGGTGAAAAGCGAGTAAGAATAAAAGGGAGAGTAACGCGCCCACGTTAAATTATTTTGGGCGGATTCCTTGGCTAGCAACGTGTTGCAGGTGCACCTGGTATTTCCTACCCCGTGTCAGAGATCAAAGTGGTTGGAGGCTATTTATAGGGCGTAATTAGCTGGTTGGACATGGCCAAGATGCCCCATTCAGCTGCAAGCACAGAGAGACAGAGCGAGAGTGAGAGAGAGGGAGAGGGAGCAGGCAGAGAGAACCCTGACATTCGCCGATATGGCCAGCATACCATATGCAGGTCCCAAATGCCACCGTTATCTCATCTCGCCAACTTGACATTGACAAAGCTCCTGGCCATCTCATCAGCTTCCAGCAGTTAAAGCGGTTAAAGCTCTGTGCGTGAGTCGTGCCGAGACTGGATGAGATGTGATGAGTCGGCGACCCGCTGCCATGGTATTTGTTCATTAATAAATAACTTGACACTCTTTGTTTTAATCACAGCGAGAGGGAGATAGGGATGAAATCTCTTTCCATCCTACAGAACGCGTTGCCAGGTGGAAACGCACATGCACCTGACTTACACATCTGTCACAGAATCCCCTCACACAATTAACAGATAAAGTTACGGCCGTCGTACTAGTTTAATTACTTTGTTGCTTAATTGTTGCATGTAATGATTATGCGTGACTGGAGTTTTAATGTGTTTCCATAAAGTAATTAACCCATATCCCTAAGAAACCTTAAGTTTTAAATGTCCAGAGAAACTTCTGGCTTAGAATTACAACGCCTAATTATTGGATAATTGCTTGGATTACCACCCGAATTATCAACTTATCATCAAGTCCAATTAAATTTCTAGTAATAACGTGATAGCATTCAAAACCCGTTCTCACTCGTGTAAATCGGAATGTTTATCTCTGTCGTGTGGAAAAAACTCTAAACCGTCAGCTTACAGCAAACATTATCGAGCGGGAAGGAATTATTGCACCTAATGGGGATCTAATGGCTGGACGACCCTGTCGTTGATTGGGGTGGGGGGTGTGTGTGTGAGCGGCCCAAATATAATGACAGACGGTCTCTGAAACGATATAAACCGTTCAATTACGAGGCTTTTTGCCATGGAAAAGTATTTCACCTCGTTCCTGCCCTTTTGTTAACCATCAAAAACCCGCTCCGCTGTCCATAAAGATTGTGCCGCAGTTATCTACATTTAATCTGAACCCACGCCCAGGCCCACACAGACACGTGATTTTCTCATGTATTTGAACAGATTTTTATAATTTGTATACATTAACGTAAAAGACGAAAACAATTCACCTTCGAGGAAATGAAAAGTGTTTTTCCAAAAGAAAATCGCATACTAGTTTGCAAGTACAATATATAGAGGATGCTTTATTTATTCTCCTCAATCAACACAATATGGACCCTTGAGTTCTGGCCTTCTGGCTAATTTGTGTTGAGTCACGGCAACCAAAATATTTAACCAGCAGGCAAATAAATGGTTTTTATAATATATATAGCATATCTATATATCTATATGAGCAAACGGGGCGACTGTTCTTGGGTCTTTTGGGGTTCCGGAGATCTGAGTTCTTGGCTTCTTGGGTTGGGAATCTGATTTTTCGGTGGCCAAGACTCTTTACTTTAACTGATAACGATTATAATTTTTTTTCCTTTCTTTGCACCCACACTTGGATTATTTGCGCAGATTCGTTTAATTGCGCATCGCACGGCGGAGAGAGAGAAAGTGCCCGCGGAGTGCCAGAGTTCAGGAGCGGAGACGCCTCGCTGACAGGTTCCTGCTGTCTTCCATATTGCACCAAACGCTTGTCGCAAAACCATCAAAAAATAAGAACAAAAAGTTCGGGCTTCCAAGGTCCACACACATGGCAGACGACGATTTGAGGGCTCTGGTCGATAGCCTGGATGACGCCTCGCAGGAGGACCTGGCCAAGGTCATCGCCAACTTCTCGGTGGACATGCTGCAGCGGGCCAGTGCCCTAATTGGCGCCCAACAGGGGAACAGTGGGGGGTCACTACAAAACCGCACGCAGCAATGTCAGCAGCAGCAACAGCGAGATGAGGAGCAGGCGTCCCTAGAGGCCCTTACATCGGGTGGCAAGCGGGTGAGTTCCAATGATTGGGCAAGGGTGTGGTTGCGGTTTATTCCCTCACTAAAAACGCATTAATTCCTGAGTACTCCACTTATTTAGCCATTCTATCAATCGAATATTTAGTACTAATTAGCTATCGTCATGTTTGTCAATCCACCAACTAACTTATTTAACGCCCCACTAAACCGTGTAATGTGTTTGATTATAGATCGATAAGCTAATCAAATTGGTTTTCATTCATCACTAACTGCATATAGAAAATGTTGAAAAATTGGTAATAAATTCAAAGTTTTGAAACTTAAAACAAGAAAGGATCTCTTTAAATAGATGGCCTAAATGATTCCCATCCACCTAATTATCAAATAAATAATTTCATATTTATTATGATAACAATTCTCAAAGAAAAATTTAAGGAATTTAGCAATATATAACAATTTCCTAAAGCAATTCATCATTTTCGATTAATAAATAATCATTTTTTTAGGGCAATAAAAATAAGATACGAGCCAAGCTATAAATATTCCTTAATTTAGCCAATGTTTGGAGAATGATTTTATTATTTGGTCGATTGAAGAATTTCCCAATTAATCGTATCCGCTAATTGATCCATCTTCTTGCCGAAACTAATTGCCTTCAATCCATCCGCCCGCTGTCGATCTCCCCAATTTTAAATTCAATATGGAAAATCAAGAAACTGAACTGGCAATAGCTTTTCGATTCATTTTTTTTTGAAAATATTTTGGCATTTTATTTCCGGAAAATGCAGCTGATATTTATTTATGTATTCCTCTCTCGGCTGTAAACAAAATATAGCCCAAGGAAACCCACTTGAGGCTGCATTTGGCCGCTTTTGTTTATCTCGACTGCACGATCAAAGTGAGGAGACACCGAAAATCCAAGGGCGTTATTCCATGAATATGTCATATATAAAAATTATACCTCTCACGACCAACTGAAGAGCCTAATGAATGAAAATCAGAAATGCAAAGACAAATATTGACGGAGTTCCCAGTCATGTTTGGCTTATTCGTTGACAGCTCATTTTGTCGCGTGGCTAAGTCCGATCGCATTAGCTGTCACAAAAGCTTAGGCTTATCAGTGAGAGGCATAGAGGAATTGACAATTTTTTATTTGAAATTCGAATCTTTCGACTAGTCTGTGGTTTTTTTTCGGGCGTCACCTGATAAGAACAATAAAAATATCAATGGAAGCTCTGTTTCTAACACCGGCAGCCATCGCCTGCCGCGATTAATTTGGCGGTCTGAACTAGACTGAGCGGTAAACATTAATATATATTTATATACTTTGTGTATCCGTATGTATGAAATTGTTTAGCACGCCATTGCAAATATATAAATAAAGCGGCGGGTGATTCTGAATTTCTTTTTTTCGGGGAACATAGCAAAAGATTGCCCACGCTGGGTATGTGTATAAAATTTGGAAATTGATTAAAAAGAAATCTACTATAAATTCATACGTCAGAACTATAAAAGTTTAGGACCAAAGGTAATGTCCGCTTTAACCCCATAAATCTCATGTACTCTGATTTAATGCGCTTTTGGGCTAGGTCAGGTTAGTTTATAGAGCGCCGAGCTGAGGGGAAACTTAATTACTGGTCATGGCATCAGTAAATGTTTACTCAAGGTTTTTCTAAACTATGTTTTCTTTGCCAATCTTTGTATATTCATAGTCTGAAATCGATTGTTGGTTTTACAGATTTTACAATGTCCCAGCTCGTTCGATTCGGTGCTGTGCTGGCCGAGAACAAATGCCGGCAGCCTGGCTGTCTTGCCCTGTTTCGAGGAATTCAAGGGCGTTCACTACGACACAACAGGTGGGTGTTTACGATTTTAAAGAGTATATTATATAATATATTTGCTTGTCCTTAGACAATGCCACCCGCTTTTGTTTTCCAAACGGAACCTGGGATCATTATTCCGACTATGATCGCTGTCATCAGAACTCAGGTTCCATACCCGTAGTACCGGACTTCTCGCCCAACGTCGAACTGCCGGCTATCATTTACGCCTGTGGTTATTTCCTAAGCTTTGCCACCTTGGTGGTGGCCCTCATCATATTCCTCAGTTTTAAGTAAGTTTGCGGTCCATATATAAAGATATTTTAAATACCATCTCGTATCATCTTCAGAGATCTGCGTTGCCTGCGAAATACCATTCATGCAAATTTGTTCCTCACCTACATAACCTCAGCCCTCCTGTGGATTCTCACCTTGTTTCTCCAAGTGGTAGGCTATATCCTATAGTATATTTTCCATTTCCATAATTAATTATATTTGTCTAGATAACCACGGAGTCTAGTCAGGCTGGCTGCATAACGCTAGTCATCATGTTCCAATACTTTTACCTGACCAACTTTTTCTGGATGTTTGTGGAGGGTGAGTTCAAAGGCGGTATCAATTGAATTTGATTTGTTTTATCATTCGCCGTTTTTTTTATATATATAAAGGCCTCTATCTGTACACGTTGGTGGTGCAAACGTTCTCCAGCGATAACATTAGCTTTATTATCTACGCCCTCATAGGCTGGGGCTGCCCAGCTTTATGCATTTTGGTGTGGTCCATTGCGAAGGCCTTTGCCCCGCATCTCGAGAACGAGCACTTCAATGGGGTAGGTCTTGAGCTTAGGCTTATCTTGGGGTCACCTTTTAACCTTATTTTTTTGGATTTTTTTGATAAGCTTGAAATTGATTGTGCATGGATGCGCGAATCTCATATTGACTGGATTTTCAAGGTACCTGCTTCACTGGCTCTGCTGGTTAATCTAGTATTTCTCATACGCATCATGTGGGTGAGTCCAAAGTTAACTTTTAAGTTGAATAACATATCTTAGTGCTAATTTATAACATTCGTGTAGGTGCTCATCACTAAGTTGCGTTCCGCACATACCCTGGAAACACGGCAGTACTACAAGGCCTCGAAGGCTTTGCTGGTGCTGATACCTCTTTTTGGGATCACCTATCTGCTGGTGCTAACTGGCCCGGAACAGGGCATAAGTAGAAATCTCTTCGAGGCCATAAGAGCCTTTCTCATCAGCACGCAGGTAAGAAGACATTGTAATTTTCTTCTTATAAAACTTGACTATTAACATTCCATATTCCAGGGCTTCTTTGTTGCTCTGTTCTATTGTTTCCTCAACTCTGAGGTGCGTCAGACGCTGAGGCATCGATTCACGCGATGGCGAGAGAGCAGGAATATCCATCGGAACAGCTCCATCAAGAATCGCAGGTGGGCTAACCAATCATTGAATGCAATCGCAATCATTTGGCATTCTAACACATTGTTGTTGTTGGACTATAACACTCTGGCTCTTGACATATTGGCTTTACCCTATTTGCACTATGTTTTTAGTTGATGTGGCTTTGGCTGCTACTATTGTAGTTGTTTGCTGTTGTCGTCGTTGTTGTCATTTAACCAATTAATTTCCATTTCAGGCATCGCGCCTCAAAAGACTACTCGCTGAGATCGCGAACCGAAAGTCTACGGTGCGTATACGCAATGTTCATGTATATGCTTCCTGTTCTTTTTTAAATTGCTTTTTACACAAACTAATCCGAAATCTTAATTGCACCCGTTTCGCTTAATATACTAACACACTCTATACTGAACTTTTCTATCCAAAAACCTTGCATTTCCTCGATATTTCGATTTTTTAATGTATTTTGCATGCTTTTCTTATCAATTATCTTATTTTCCTTATTCTCCGTATTTTTCTTATTTGGGTTTCTCTTCTTTTCTATTTTTGGTTTCTTGTAGACTGACATCAACAAGTCCCGTACCCACTGGACACTATGAATGAACACCACACACAAATCTATATCTTTACGACACAGAGATTTCCCCCCACATATATATGTAGAGCCTTCCCCTTTGTCCATAAGTATTGCATGTTAGTTTACACCATAAGAGCTCAGATTAAAGTATTATATTTTTTATAAACAAACATCAGTTTTTGTTGCCCTTTCATACGATTAACTATAATTGATTTTCAGCACGGAGGAGTGTGTGATCTGCCTGCGTCCTTCACCACACACGCGATTAGGATCACTGCAGCGCTACCACAGCATCGATATTACAGATTTTGTCTAGGCTTTGTGGCTTTCGAATCGCATTTATTTAGTCCAGTTCGTAACGCTTGAGCCGCTCGTAAAACTGCCCAAAAACAAAGCCCTCGGTGTCGTAGGTGCGATAGAGTCGATACCACTCCTCATTCACATGGCGATTTGTGTAGACGGGCAGGCAATGCCTTGGGAAGTAGTTAATCGATGTGTATCTAATCAAATCAAACTCGCAAGGCGCATGCAGCAGCTTAAGATCCCCTTTAGCATCCGGACCGGGTTCATCAGAGCGAGGTATTTTCCGGATAACATTCGAGGCGTTAGACTGCTGCTTTTGATTGTGAAGATTTGACGACGTGGGCCGTTCTTGGCTGATTTGAATTATCAGCTGAAGGATAAAAACGGATAAGTGGGATATAAACAAGCCAAGTGCATCGCAACTTACCACCACAAGAAGAACCAACAGAGTCTCGCATCTTCTCATTTACGATAATCCAGAATTCTGTATACAAATGTAGAAAAAGAACTTTTGGCCACCCCAAAAAAGTTGTCAAGAGATCAAAAAGCTGCTTAGACTGGACTTGTAGTTTATTTTCGAGAGTGACTTGGAGTTACAGCAGAAATTGTTAAACTAATGTATGTTCAGGATTCAGGTTTTTTCGTTTTTTTTTGTTTGATATTTTGTTGCAAAATCTTAAGTACGAAAACAAATTGCTAACATAGGGATCCTTATCAATCATTCCAAATGTAGAAATATTGAACGAAACAAACTGTGAATACCCCAACAATTTTCCCCCGTTTTAGTGTATGTATATACTAAATTAGCTACTAATTTACTAGTCGAGTGTCAGTTGTGTGCCAATGCGTGCAAAAATTGTTCGTAACGATTAATTGTTAATGTTAATTCTAAGTTTTACTCTTTTAGCAGTTTTTGTTTTTCTGTTTCTGATTTTTAAGGTCACATTGTTTATATCACTGAAAATGTAATTTAATGTATTTTAACTTAAGGCAACGCGAAATTAAAGCAAAACTAAAACAAAGAGAAATGAAAATTAATAGTGAAAAAGATCATTTGATGTCACCTTAAACTTAATAATTAATATTCTGCGAATAAAGCTTTTAAAAATATCAAAAAGTTCGTAATTTTTAATTGTGATTTATCATCTAAAGCTACCTATTAATGTATATATATATATTTATCATAAGCCTATGTCTGTGTATGTGAATTGATGCATATGAAATCTACAACTAAAACTATGAACTCTAATGTTCAACGTCACCTGCATGTCAACCTCAACTTGATTCCCTACCAGGTCATTTCTACCTACATCCCACCGTTCTACGTTCCAACTGCAATGTCTCTGTGCGCTATATTTCAAGATGGATTGTACTAGAAATGGGTGTGTGTGGTTTTATGTTTTTTTTTCTATGAAAACGAAATTCGAGTAATGGTTTATGCCAGAAACCATTTCAAACAGTCGCCTGCTTTCTTGCGAATCGAAGCCTAGGTATCCGTATAAAATAACAATTAGACTATCAACTAACTAACGCACATTTTGGGAGGGGTCGCGGGATTGGGGCTTTAGGAGGTTTCATTTTACTTCTTAGAGGTAATATCAAATGCATTCGCCGGGATTCTGGGCACAGTATTTGGGAAACAGGGCCTCTGCCCTAATGCCCAGTTCGACGAGGCGATTTCGGAACATTGAGATTCTACGGAACACATCTCGCGGCACTATATCCATATCGTGATCATCACTAGGATCGGTCCACAACCGTTCAGCCAAAGCGGCGGAACGTGGCCACAGCCGATTGTCCAGCTGATTCTCATCCACCTGCTCAGTCCACATGCACGCCTCACCTCCCAGCACCTAAAGACAGAAATTAGGAATGGATTAGGAATGAGTTTTTAATGAAAGAAGTCACAAACTCACCTGCTTCCTGCGTTTTTTGTCCAATCGCATCCGCTCCCAAGGTCGGTGCTTATAGACATTCTGCCAAGTGCGGTACGGAGCACAGGCAGCCTCTCCGGTGGCCCGCCAACTGCCAAATCCGCAGTCCAGATACCAAGCGTCCACGTGCGAGAAGATCACGTTGTAGCCGTTATCCAGCAAGTCGTAGTTCTCCTGCCAGGTGCTACCGCCCCACACCTGAACGGTGAATTGACTGTTTGGAAGACACTTGGTATTGGTCAGGGCGCTTGACCATACAGCCACGTACTTCGGCGCCACTCCATTGTTGGCCAGCTTTAGTCTGCGAGACAAAGTATTACACTTATTTCATTTCTCATTTAAATTAAAAAATCTTTCGCTCACCTGGCCATCGCCTGCAGCATGAAATCGCACCACAAGCCGCGTAAATCTGTGTCGTTGAAATACTGCGCCCAGCAGTCGAGATTGACCTCGTCGCCGCCCAAGTGGAAGAGGTCCGTGGGCCCCGTGTGTTGCAGCAGCTCCTCGTAAAGGCGCTGCAGAATGAGGTAGGTGTGGTTGTTCTTCGGATTCAGTTGACCGCATGGCGGTTCGCCGCAGTAAAAGCTCCACGGCTGCTGGTTGATGCACATGGCCAGTTCGCCCATTCCGCGCTTCGGTCCCCAGTCCCATCCGTTGCCCGCATGGGCTGGGGCATCAATTTCGGGTATGACCTGGACGCCATAGATCTTGGCAAACTCGGCCACTTCGCGTACATCTTGCTCCGTGTATGTTTCGCTTTCTGAGTAAGCTCCATGCTCTGCCAGCTCCGGATAGTACCGTGAAATGTAAGGAAAACTCTGAGCATCCGTAAGGTGCCAGTGGAAGCGGTTCAGCTTGGCCAAACCCATAGCCATAATCGTTCGTTTAATGGACTCCACCGAGAAGAAGTGCCGGGAGGTGTCCAGCATCAGGCCACGATACCGGAACTTAGGGGCATCCTTAATCTTGCTGTTGGCGTATGTGTGCAGCAGATGATCCTCATCATCAAACCAGATCAGTTGCTGAAGCGTGGATAGTCCATGGCGGGCTCCAAAGTACGAGTTTGCAGTGATCTCCACTTGAAGGCGGTGTCCATCGGCTGTTTAAGGAATGGGAAAATAAGAATTAGATTTATTAGGCTGCTTATTTATGGGATTACTCACTTAGAGAGCTCAGCTGATAGGTTTCATCGTTGTCTAGGCTAAAATTAAGGTCTCCTGACTTCTGCACGTTGATCTTAACTTGTACGCTGTTCAGATCCCCTGCCTGCTTAACGCCAAAGGTGGCTCCAAACAGCGTGGCTGCTGGTTCCACATCCGCGTGACGGCGAGACTTTGATGAAGATTCGCTAACAGTTGCCTCTGAAGAACTACCAACGTAGTCCAGTCGCTGGATTTGCCGCAAGTCTTTTAGGAACCAGTCGAAGGCCAACTGGATCTGCTTGCGAACTTCGCGATGGGAGGTTTCCACCTGCAGCTGTACATCCTCCACGGAGAAACTGTGCGTATAGGAGCTGAGCACAAATTTGTGGGTGGGATGGGGCCAAATGTTAACGTCACCGCAAGTCATCGAACAGCTGATGAAGGAAACCCGCTTGGCGGATTTACCATGATGGCCCACCCGTATACATCGCTTATCCTCGCACTTGTAAGTCCAGGACTTCTCGACGGGTCTGCAAAAACGAAGAGTGATTAGTCGGAGTCAGATGATTCTTCAAACTGATTGGCATGTGGCACTCACATGGGAAAGGCACTGGCATCATGATGGCTGTGGGGTCGTTCTAGTGCCTCGTTGTAAGCTTGGGCCTTGGTGGCTCCTTGGTTCCAGTAGAGCACCGTCAGGATGAAGATGGCGCCGGAAAGTAGCACCAAAAGAGCTCGGCGCAGCGATACAGCCAAGGACATCTTATAGAGATAACGTAGGCTAGAATAAAAGCAAAGAAGTTTTAATTCAAATTCTATAATTAAAGTTATATAAACTCATTTACACTTATCCTAATTTCGTATGTACACTATTAATTATATTCTTAATCATGTCAACTTAAATAGCCCAAGATGGAACTCAACTCCCTTGATCCACATTTAACCTACTTTTTGCGTTTGGTCCCCGCCCACCAGTTGACATCATGTGGCTTTTGGCCGCTTGCCTGCCTGCCAACTGGTTCAAAGAACTGAGACAGTTAAGCAATAATACACAATAGCGGGTCGTGCGGCAAGACAATGGCCCACCAGACCATCCCCAAATCGCTTGCGTCCCGTCATGGGGCATAGGACACACATCGAACTTTAATCAATGCTCGCGACTTGGGCTTGACGAGCGATAAAATCAAAGGAAACCCGAGGAGTCGGGGTTTTGCCACATGCCATTTAGTGGCAATTGTTTGTCCTCACCGACCGCGATGTCCTCACGCTAATACCAACGCACACATGCCACATCCACCTTTTGCGGCACGCAAGGGAATCGGATCTCCTGGCGCCTGGCTGGCAACATAATGAAAAATCGAAGGCAGTTTCATATAGAAACGTTCGGGACCACGGCATCGCAGCTCTCTTGCTGGTAGCAAAATACATATCGTATGTATATCCCATAATATATTGAACATTTTAAATTTTGTAATTTGGTTGAATATGAAAGGATTGCCTTGCTTGTTTTGCTGCGAAGACAAAAGAGGTTGGAAGGAGCTCTGATGTCTATATATGCTTTATTGGACTTATCGGATAACTTTAAGAACAATCGTAAAATATTTACAAAAACCTTTACACCTTTTCCCCGTCTTAAGGTTTTACTTAGCAAGACACGCAGTCAACCCCGTAACACTATATTTTTTGATGTCCCCCACCCGTATCATATTTATAATGCAACCTATAATTCAACTTTTTATGCTTCATTATCGATTTTAAATCAAATTACTTAACAAATGAGTGGAGGGGACCCATAAACCCAAATGTGATTTTATATATTTTTAGGGCGGGCACTTTTAAACTTTGCATAGACGAGGAATGAGGGCGAGACCTTGCCACGGATGGAGAATGGTGCCTGGTGCCTGGTGCCGGGTATCGTGACGCTTTCTCTCATGACATGGGTGATTATAGTGGGCGGTACACACCTGTAATGCAGTGGCAGAAATCAGCAAAGGACCTGCAACCTTTGCGTGTGACTCCAACAATCGAAGCTAGCATGGGTGAGACCTTAAAATTTTCATTACGCTTCATGTGAAAATATGAAATACTTTCGCAGGTCATGCAACAGCACGGTTGAAATCTACATTCGAGACACTTTTTCCAGTTGCCACTGGCAACTCGGAGGAGGTTAAAGGTGGTAGCAAGGCAACAAGACAGCATGGCAGCATGGCAGCTGGTGCTCCAATGCAATGGACGTGCTTTTACTTGTGGCCTGGTCCCATCATTACCTTGATGGTCGTGCATAATAAATCAACAGGCATGCATAATTAATGCTGCCAATGCTTGAAAAAAGGGCAAGAAGTGGGTGGCTGTGGGGCAGCAAGAAAGGATTGCTTGAATGTGACAGCCTCATTAGTTTTCACACAGCACACATACGACTGTCAAAAATATTTGTACAAAGTGTAGCATACATTGCAGCGTTTTGTTAGCTTTCACTTGACAAAGTAAACACATAGATAGTTAGCTAGTACCCTGGTCTAGATAATGAATATATATCTTTAATTAGTCATGCTAAGTGTGAGCTTAGTTGATACTTATTTAATGGTCAATAAAGTTGACTACACAGAAAATTTCTTGAAACAAAACGAAGTAGTAGAAAATAAAGACTATTTAAAAATGTTTTAGGTCTTAAAAATAGTTGTTGGTTGAAAAATAAAGTTGCTTTGAAATATATTCGGCAGTTTCTGGAGGGGTTTAAGGAGTCCTTTAACCCCCAAAAACTTACTTATTTCATAGCTTCTCCGAATTTAAAGTTACTTCCCATAAATTAAACTATAATTTCAAATGTTGTCCATTTCTTTATCGTTAAGTTGACAGACTTATCCATGGTTTTATTTGGTTCCCTCAGCTTACCCGCAACGCGTGCGCAGAACGGCGGTCGAAAGTGACCAGAAGCGCCCGAAACTATCCATCATCAGAGGGCCCGCCTGTGGGTGGGCGCCACCTCATGTCCTCGTGGCCCACCGCAACACCGCTGCCCTCCAAAAAAAAAAAAACAGCGAGACGCTCTAATGAGTCACGTTGCCAGCTGCCAACTGTTGAGGGGCGGCGTGACACACAAAAAAAGGCGACTTTCGCCTCCTGCTGCTTCTGTCCTGCTGCTGCTGCTGATGCTTCTGGGTGTCCTGAATTGACAAATTTCCTTTCACACAAATCTAAAATTATGCCAGAGATGGAAAACTAAAATGGTGGCAACTTTTGTGTGTCGTTCACGGCCAGAAAAAGGAAAACAACAACCACGCGGACGTGCTCTTCAACGCGCGCGACACTCGAGGAGCTGGCAACAACTACGGCCCAACTATTACTATTAAGCCGCCGACGTTGCGCGGATTTCAAGACGCTCGAACGCCGACGACGCCGTCAACAAACAGTTGGCACGGCCAAAAAACACACTCGGAGCGAAAGAGAGAGGAATAGGTGCACTGGAAAAAAACACATAATGCCATCCTAAATTTGCATCTCAAAAATCAACGAATTTTCACAACTGATTTAAAACCAATAGAAAACCTAAAATATAATTTTAAAAGCTACCCTTGTAGTGTAACATTTTAATTTGCGTGATAACAGCTCTTACTTAAAATCTTGCAACTATTTTCTCTCTCTGTAAACAACAGAGAAACCAGAAATAAAAGAGCGGGGCGGCAAAAATGGCGTGCAACTATTTACATATGTTCTTGAAACCGACGAGCGACTGTGTCTGCGATTGCATGCACCTGGCATGGGTATACCTATAGTTATAGCCACAGCAGGACCAATCCACAGTGCCGCCCTCAAATATTGAGCACTCCCACACAGTCGTCCGCGAAATGTCCATTTAAATGTTTGCACAAGGCAAGTGCGTAGCCATAAATTAAAAGCAAATTTGCCAAAAATTAATACGTGAATTTCAATTAGTTGCTAACGGCTGGCAATTATGATGATGATTGCATACGGGTGCTATAAAACGTGGCCGATATGCAAATGTTATACATTTCATTGCCGTTTATGCGGAAATTTTTCAAAATTGTTTCAATATTTTGTGGGAATGTGTTTGGGTAGGGGGTCTGAGTTGCTGATTTGTATAATAAATGGGGCACATTAAGAACAATCTGTTAACGGAATTGTGTTTTAATTTCATTGCTATCGATGAAGTAATATGTAAAAGGAACAACTTAGCTTAAAGTGTATTCAATTTTAGTTTTTAATTACATTTTAGGTTAATTTAAAGGGAGGTTGTAAGCAACATTTCCCACCTAACTACTAAGTTTCAGTTTTTTTAATACTACGATTATAATAGTCTTTTCTAAACCCTTATTTCCGCTAATTTTTCATATAAATGCAGCAGTTTATCACCCTATTCCTCTACTTAATTGTCTTGCATTTTTCGACACATCAAGCATACGCAACGTTGGCCGCTGTGCAGCATGTTGCATGCTCAATATGCGCGGCATGGACTGTTGCTTTTGAGTCGCATTATTATTTATGGCCGCATGCCGTGAAAAATGTCAGTTGGCGACAAGTGTTGTTCAAATGGCATGCATGGTTACCACAACAACAACAACAACAAAGGCGACAGCAGAAGCAGCAACAACAACACAGTGGCAAGAACAGCAATAATAATGACAACCCATACGGACATACAAAAGCATTTGGCGCTCAATTTGACGTGAAACGTGCAGGAACAGAATGAGAACTTGAGGCGAGTGAAAGGGATACAAAGGGAAGCTCAATACAAATAGCAGTGCTTGGCCTTTGTCGACGACATATCCTTTTTCCACCCACTGCCACTGCCACTTTCCCCCAAAAAAAAAAAAAACGAAAACAACAAATAGCAAAAAGAGAGGGAAAGCCACAGAAAAATGGGCAACGCAACTTGTAACAGGCAAACAGCAACTAGAAAACAGTAACTAGTAAACCTCAACCAGTAGCAAAACACCCGAAGTGCACAAAGTCCAAGCCGAAGGCTGGCTCATTCGGTTGCCAAGGCAACTTCGTCGGGCTCACAACAAAAGGATAAGCCAAGCCAAAGTCCTCGGGACAGGACGACCAGGCCAGCCAGCAAACTAGTCAGCAAGTCAAGCCGGAGCTCAGTTGCAGCAGCGCAACGCATTTGCCCAGACGCACAACTCGCGATTCGCGGCCAAAACCAAGAGTTACGGAAATAGACTTGCCTTGGCCATCGATCGTTGTAAAAACTACACTTGAAAAAAAACAAGAATAATTTAAATTAATTTAAGAAATTTCTAAATCCATATCAAGTTGTCATATCACTTGATTACTGTGATAAATAATTTAACCCATAGATGGTTTAGTGTTTTAAAAAGAACAATATTGAATGACGATTTTAAATAATTTTAAAATGTTTTAGTGCAGTGAAAGTAAAAGTAAAGATTATAATAAATTTCAGAATATTTTCTTTTAATAACACGATCAATAGCTATTCTTAAAAATAAAAGAATTACTTTTAAAAGTGTAAAAAAATATAACCAATCTCATAAAACTACCGAAATGATGTTAAAATTCTGTGAAACTCTAAGAATCTTTCTTAACAAAATCTAAAGTAATAAAAAATTAATTTACATGAATAAAAAAATCTATAAAAAATCTAAGAAAAACATATATAGTTCAACTTTTGTGTAGTGTTGCCGTTTGACTTGGTCTTGCTGTCGTGCTAGAGTTGCTATTGCCTTCGGGTCGTCGGTCGCGAGGGCTAGCTCCTGGCAGTCGCTTTTCGTCCTTGCTGCCGTCTAGAGCCTTAGCTTTCGCTTCTAGCCTGGTCTAGAATGCGCCTCGTTTTGGGGTTGAAGTGTGCGTGTTAATGGCAATGTAATGAGTGCGCCGTGCTAATCGTTATGCAATCGCCTTGCTTCGATTTTGAGCCACAGTGAAATGTCTCTCAAGCGTTATGCAACTCTGCTGGCCTTCGGTCAAAATCAAAATCAAAATCAAAATCAGAACCAGAATCATACAAGCCCGGCCACGACAACATCGTTGGTGGCCACAACTGAGGGGATTCCATCATCAACATCCTCAACAGGGTACGGAAGTTTTGCTAGCGAGGAGCAACTGCAGTCCCAGGAGCATGTCTCGTCCTCATCCTCGATTTCCACACACACCACCTACTACACCGGCGGATTGGGGCAATATCATCAGCAGCGCGGTGGCCCAGGATCTGTCATTTCGGGTGTGGGCGGCGGCGGAGGACCTAGTGGACCCCAGACGTATGCAAATGTTGTCAACGGAAATGTGAATCTGCTGCTCGGCGGGTAAGTCTGTCAGCTATAACAACTGACTGATGGCAAGGCTGGGCATCAGAGCCAAGTTCAAGAGATGAGCCAAGGTGAAGCTCGTGGGAAATGTGAAAGAGTGGCACACATATCATGGCTGCAACTTTTGGCAAATAGCTAAAGCATTCCCTTAGTCATTTGGCAATTAATTAATTAGGGTTGCCAAGAAAGTTTCCCCAAAACAATTGGCTTCCAAAACTAACAGCCACGAAATCGTTTAGATATTTACATTTTTAAAAACCTCTTTCTCACCCGTCAGTTTAATATTTTAAAAGGATTCAGTAATCGTTTCTTGCAGATAATTCATATTAAATGCCATTCCAGCTAACTAATAGCTTATTGCCACAAGACATTTTGTCATGAAATAATTAGAACTGCTTAGAAAGTTTTACTCGGAAAACGAAGAGGTTATTTGGAAACATATGTTTCTAGGCAACCGCAAAGTCAATTATTAGAACGTTTATAGCAGGTCGTAAATTCCAACGAAATGTTTTCAGTAATTGCCCTATTTTGTGTAAACATTTTAGAACGATATGGGAAGAAGCTCTCCATAGATCATAATGCTTGGCACCGCTTGATTTATGAGATGGAGCTGCAAATTAATAAACATCAAAAATTTCCTCGGCTGCAAGCGAAGATGTCAGGCTTCCGCTTTTCCCGCGAAGAGCGAACGTAATAATTATAATTGCCTCAAGTTATTATTCTGCTTTTCGCATTTTCCCAGCGAAACCGAAGCATCCTTTTCTACTTATTAAAATTTATTTTCGTATGCAACACGAGCTTTCTTCTTTTTTTTTTGTTTTGTGGCATAACCCGAAAGCAACAAAACGCATTTTGTCAACACAGTTTTATAGGGTTTTTTTTTTATGTCTGTAAACATCACGCGCGGCACACACACCAGCTAGAAAAACTTTATTTTAACTACATTTTTATCGATTGTCCTGGGCAGTTCATTGAAAATAGCTCGAATAGAAAATTTATGGAAGGGGCAAATCGTTTCACATGCCGCTGTTGTCTCTTTTGCGCTTCTGCGGAATGGGAAAGTTGGGAAAACTCGGCCCAAAAAGAAGGTTCTAATGAACTGTTGACATGCTAGAAATTGCGTGAACCGGTGGAAAATGAACAGCCAAAAAAAAAAAAAAAAAGAATGACTAGCTTGGGGCAGAGAGAGAGAGAAACACTGGACAGACAGACAAGTGGGACACAATGTTGCATTCTAAAGTGGATTAACTGACGTCATGGAAATGCCTTGAGTAACGAAATCGACACGAAACGATTTCCAGCTAAATAAACCAGTGGGTTTCAATATAAACCGACACAAATTGGCCGACAGCGCTAAAAGGAAAATTTGATAACTGGCAATCAAGCTGATAGTGGGGGGCATTTCGGATTTATTGACAAATTTAGAAAATTGATATAGCCTACACCTTTAAGAAATAAGGATAAAAAAATTCAATTTCCTTAAATGAGTTTAAAATATTTGATTTTTATCTCAGAACATATTTATTTATCTACAATACTTGACCTAAATTGGAACTTGAAAATGTTTATTAAACAAACGAAAGCAGTGTTTGGGTAAACAGTCAGCACCAAATGGGTTTAATCAATTCTCATACTTTCTAAACATAATCGGCTTAATGTAAACAACTTGTCGACAGCCTAAAGAAATAAGCTAAGCCTATTTAAATTGTGGTTTAAAACCAAAATTAACTCATTAAAATAATAGTTAAGCAATACAATTGAGGAGTCAAGGATTAAATTAGGGCACACAGAAATTTATTAGGCCACTTAAAGCCAACAAATCAGCCAAGTAGAGTTGGCTTTTCAAAACCAGTGTAGTGTGGTGGCCTATTTGGTTCAAGATAATTGCACATATTCCATATTTATCAACAGTTGGTTTGCCTTTTGTTTGGCTGGGAAAGTAAATTGAGAGCGAACGAATGCAACTATCTAATTAAAATCACAAGCCAAGGAAAGTAATTTCCGTTGAGAGGCGATGTACGAGTACTGAAGGCTGAACATTTTGTTGGCATTTTACGAGTATGCTTGCAATCAATATAGAAGCAGATATAGGCCAACATAAATAAACATACAAACATTGGCAATTTGTTCGACAAAATTAATAAATGCCAAAAACGTTATTAATACGATATTATCATGATGGCCATTTATCTAGGCCCAGCAATCAATTTGATGTCACCACCCAAAGGCAAACATAACGAAAAATACATGAGTATATGAATATGAATGTGCTACTGATATCCGTGGAATAACATTGCATTCACAATCCCTATTCGATTTAATTATTTGTTGCAGAGCCATGCTTTCCCTAGTGACGACCATATTGTGTGTGGTCTGCTATTGTTGCCATCGGAATATCAAAAAGCGTACAGAGGCGGCCTACAGACAGCAGCAGCATCAGTGGCTCGAAGGCGATCCCAACATGGAAATATACAGCGTAGAACAGGTGAGTTTCAGTTCTCCCTTTAGCATCAATGGTCTAGTGCCTTGGGGTTTTAGAGGCTTTGCTCTCTCTGAAAGCCATAATAACAAACGGATGTCAACGGCATTCCAAATAGTAATGTCACAATGCCAATGGACATCTATACTAACTGAAAGGGCAGGCAGTATTCCATTATGATCAGAGTTTAATTAAATCCAGAACAATAAGGTTGTGACTCTCTACAGCTCCCTTTTAACTCCCAAGCTTTATTTCTTTACATTTCTTTCTATAGAATAAATAGTTATTGATATTCTAAGCACATGCTGAATATAATCGAATTATAATCATTTTATTCTTAAACTCAAACCAAAGAAGTTTTTACGGAAACGGTACTTAAGAAAGACTTATCAAAATAAATACCTCACACGGCCCTCCAGTAATTTATTTAAATCACAATCGATTAAACGCTAAAAACCTATTAGCAACCATTAAGGTTAAGTGCCAGATGAAAAGAGTGTAAACAAATAGGGTATACGGCAAACTAAACAGAAAACTTTCTCCGAAAGCCATTTATTTTTCGATTGAAACTTCAATCAAATCAACCTCGTTTCCCAATTAGTGGCTAAAATCACAATTACGACGAAAATGGAACAAATAATAACCAACAGTCTCAGCCAATTGTGGCCTAAAAACCACCCACAAGTCAACCTTAATTTCTTATTTTTTCAAGTTTAAACCAACATTCTGCAAGGACAGTTTGAAAGTAAGACGGAAACTGAAAGTGAGAGAGGGAAAGGGCAGAGCTATAATGGATATTTATGCGGCGCATTTAACAGGTGCGACAGTTGAGTTGAGTTCAGTTCGGTTGACCAAAGGGGCGCGACAGTTGCGGTTGGCCATATAGCCATTGCAAGTGGCCCAGAAGCCGCACTCACTTGGCCGTGGTCATTATTAAGTTACAAAACCGCCGACAGCCGGCTAAAACCTTCCAATTCGACCACACAAACCACCCACCACCCACCAACCCACCATAGGCCATCATTCAGTTCATTGTTGTTTGTTGGCCCGCTGGGAAACGAGGGAAAAAGCGCTGGCAAAGGGCTCCACGTAAATCAACGTTAGCCTGTCCAGGCACGAATGTCAACGGCGGACAGACAGAGGCGGGATTCTTGAGGGGGAATGGGTTTGCAGATTGCGCAGCAGAGACAAATAAATTTATGATGTGTGCAATTTAAACTTTTTTATTTGATCGCGTAAATTTCACTTGTCTAGTCCAGCTCGTCTCCATTAAGGAGGTAAATTACAAGGCGACCAAGCGTAGATCGGCAATTATTCAAGATGCCCTTGGGGAATATATAGTGTAGAAAGAAGATATATCTTACAGAAAAGTTAGAGATCTGTTTTAGGAAGTGTTAGGAGTTGATTTATCCTAAGATTTCTATGTATTTTACTGATTAATTGTTCTCTTTTCTAATTGTTTTCTAAGTGCTACGAGACATCTGGCCTGTTCCTAGGCGACTCCACCGATGGCCTGTCTGCCGTGCCCGCCCTGCATCATGAACCACCGCCATCGTATGACGCAGTGGTGTTGCACGAACAGCAACTCCACCAGCAACAATTGGAACAGCAGCAGCAGCAACAGTTGCAAATGCAACTGCAGCAGCAACAGCAACTTCTAATGCAGCGCGTCTCACCACCGCCAGGCTATCGATCCTCATTGGACATCAGCGGGCAGCCGGGTACGAGCTTTGGCCGCGGAACACCTGATGGCAGTGTGGATGCAGTGGCCAGTGGCAGTGCCGCAGGTGGCGGATCAGGCGGCATGCTGGTCAACAAGCAGTTACAATTGGCCCTAAACGCCCAATCCTGTTGCTCGCTGCAGAGGGCGGAGGTGGAGAGCATGTGGAATGCTGCGGCGGCGGCTGTGGCTGCCCGGAGCGGAAATTGCCTGGAAATGGAGACGCTGCAGGTACGTAAGCCGACGCAGAACATCAGATTGAACACCTTCGGGCGGCGGTACCTGCAGCAGAGCCATCAGCATAGTGGCAACCACTACCGACGCGGCTGTCCGCTGTGCGGCAAGTTCCGCTATGAAGGTGAGGCGGAAGATGAGCCTCTAACCGCATTGTCTGTGGAGAGCGGTCTGAATATGGGTGGGCGAAGGGAGGACCCGAGTATCTGTCCCTGTCCCAGTGACATTGACAATGGCAACCACATTTCTGGCGATGCTCTCCAGGATGAGGCCAATGGGAATGTTCAGGTCACCGCACTGGATGAACCACCTCAAAATGATGCCATACCCATAACCACTGTCAATGATGAAAATGACAATGCAGCATCATCATCCGACACACCAGCAACATCCGAAACACCAACAACATCCCACACAGCAGCAACAACCAGCAGTAACAGGCAGTTGGAGGAGGTGGAACAGGCTATGGGCCAACTGGAGGAGCAGGATTTGAACAACATTAACGAGAACGGCATCATCAGCCTGGACATGAGCAAAATCATTGACAGATCGGGCCTGCCCACATACGAGGGAGCCATCAAACTGGAGTCCAGTGGTTATGTCTGAGCCTAACGAGGATTTTACATTAGTTGTAAAGCTGCAAAACCAAAACCAAAACCTAAACCACAAGTGTGCTTTAACTATGATTAAGATAAGTTGCGATTGGAGGAAACTGTTTAAGCAAAGAATTATGAGAAGTATTTGATTTTCCGATTTTGTAATCTGAAAACTCTATACCACTTATGAAGATTGCTAAGATCGTACTAAAGTTAATGAAGAATATAGCACACTTAAACTAAGCATTTCTGCGTTAATGATGCAAACAAATATCACGCTCTCTCTCACAAGAAGCAAAAACGAATACAATAATTATAATGTTTAAATGTTTAGAGCTAAGCCCGTGCATATCCCTGTAAATGTTCGTTTCGAATACTCCTATCAATAAAATCAAAAGTTGTAATTGAAGGCAACAAGCGATTTAATAAGCCGCAACCTCAATCCGCAACCTTAGCCTTATTCCACACCCACAAGTACACAGTTTTTAGTTTATAATGCTCGGTTGAGCGCAATCCGATTGATTTTGTATTAAATAATACTGGGCGAGGAACGCAGGAGATGATAAAAAACGAAACCAGAGCAAAGAATGGCATGCAAACAAATCGTCAAAGACAACGGCTAACAAGCGGCAAGATAACAGGCAACACCACCCTCACCCATCCACTTGGTCCGTTTTCCCACCCCATTTCGATTTTCCGCTTTCCTTTTCCACCGCACTTACCTCAGACAGACAACGGGTTTGTGTCTCTGTCTTTTCGTCTGGATCATTTGCATGAGCGGAGCGAGGAAAAATCGAGGGGAAATGTGTCACCAGGTCGGCTACGTGATTCTCTAACTTATATATAATGAAACATATATTGTTTTGGAAAAACTTATATGAAAATCAATGAAAATATATAAAAAAGGTAATAACAAAGATTAACAAATAAAATAATTCACTTAGAAAAGCTGAAAACATTAAGTAGGTATTATTCCTAGAATAGAAAGCTTTTATAAATATTAAGCATACGCATAGTATGCTACACTCCAAAAAGTCATTTGAAACTTCCCAAGTAAACAGATCAAGAATTCCACCTTATTTAACACTGCTTTAAATAACATCAAGTATACGCACCGTTCGCCCACTTAGAATAACTTCATTGAAATTCAAGTACGGCAAGAGTATTCGAGAAAACAAATCGCTTACAATTGCAGGTTCTGTTTTTGTGTGTGGTCAAGCGATGACAAAACGAAGGGGGAACGGTTCAGAACTCTTGTTTTTATCCCAACTACCTTTCTTTTGCCCTCGTGCCACATTGAAATGGTAACAAGAAACTTGTTAGTTGGCTCTCATCATTGTGCACAATTTCATTTGACATCAGGTGCAGGGGTAACAAGCTCTCGGCGTTTATGCAACCTTGAATTGCTTAAGCGATAGGGTGGGAGGGGGGTTAAATATGTAGGTAATGTATGTAATTATGCATGAATTGACTGCAAAGCTTAAGTTACACTTGAGATCACATTAAAGCCAACCCCAACAGCCTCAATCAAATGTTCTAAGTTCGTTGTTTATTTTTAAAAATCTCAATAAATTCGTTTAACACTCGTACCGTCGTGTCAGCAGCATTTGAAACGCTTTCGATGAATTCTTCACGTGAGCACCGGCAATAAATACAAAGAATTTAATTTTGGTTTATTTATGGCCATGCCAGCTAGATTTCTGGTCGGTGTATTAACACAATTTCAATGATCCGGCCAAGAGGAGCGCGCTTTGTTGATAATTGCAAACAACTGAAAGCGATGCGTCTGCCGCTGACGGCGGCACAACAAGTCGCAACCGCTGCTGCCGCTGCCGCTGCCACAGCCGAGTGGCAACCGCAGCTGAGTGGGTTGGAAAATGGGTGGGAAAGGCGTCGGAAAAACGGGTGGGCAATGGTTGGTACAAAATGATAGAAAAAGAGAGCACCATACGCCTGCTAATGTGCATGTGTGCAGGCCAAAATAAAATAGAGCGAACGAGAGCTGAAAATGAAACTGAACCGAGCTGAACTCATGGTTTCAAATGAACGGTATTGGAAGGGATATTGGGGGGTTTCTTTAGGTGGCATCACAAACTGCGCAGCGCCGCTTAACCCTTTCCACCGGCAACCCTTCGCCCTCGTTCGATTTATTAATAACACCAAAAGAGGCACACGAGGGCGAACCGAATGGGCGAATGGCAAATTTCAGGTTTGATGGCATGGGCGGCTGTGAGGTGTGAGCAGAAGCACTTTGCCAACAGCCTCTCGTATTTATAATTACTGCAAATTGCCGCTTAAAAACTTGTGTTCCTGCCGGGGCATCGGGCCAAACTACTCGAGCCACTTACGACTATGTCATCATCATCATCATCGTCATAGTCATCGTCAGCATCACTGGGAGTGCCAGGCACGTGCTTAAAAATAGACTCCATTGGGTCACTAAATATAAACCATTTGGCATTTGGTATGACCTAAAAAATCAGATCGAAAGTGTAAGAACGAAAGACGAAATAATAAGTGCTCTCTCTCTGAATGGAAAATGTTGGTGAAAAACAAGAACATAAATAGATAAAAATTATAGAAAAGACTTTATATCCGTTATAAAACAAACCTATTGCCTTATATTAAATGAAATGAAACTAATTAGATTTATAGAGACATCAAAAAGTTCGACTCTTGGAAGTAAATTTGTTACTAAATAGCAATTTTTAAGCTGATCTTAATTTGTAAGATTGGAAATCAAATCTTAAGAGCTTTTTATATAATAATACTTAATACTTAGACAAAAAAAACTAAATACACTTTGATAATTTAAAAAGCTCAGAAGCAAATAAAAACAAATATAGACTGATTATAACACCACTATCTATGCAAAGAAATTCTAGCTTACTCTAACATTATATTAAATATTAATATAATATGTATTCATTCTTTAACGTTTTCTTATATACATAAAGCTTGCATTAAATAATTTGTATTCAGAGAAATTCCTGATGCTGGCTCGGCAGATAAGGCGCTAGGCATTGCCAAGTGGAGTTCAGAATGCTTATTATTCCATATCACTTCCGCTGCCCAGTACACGAACTGGGATGCTTTCCCAGGGTATTATAGAAACAGTCTCTACTATATGTAGTCTCAATAGCGTCAAGATTACCGCAACAAGAAATAAAGCAAGTCATGAGGCAATTGGGTTAAGTCACAAAGGAGAGAAGAAAACCAAAAGTTAAAGTGAAAACACAAAATAGCCAAAAAGTATTCCAGTACACGTACGGGCGTACTTATAAAATTACAGTGTCTTAAGTAGGATTTGATCAAGGGGGTTGGACTAAAAAAAACACTTTAATATGATGTGTGAAATTTTTTGTACATTTCTTATCAATCAAAAAACATTTTTAATATTTAAGTGTAATTCCAATTAGATGACGTGTAATATTTTTAAAATGATTTTTTATTATCTCCTAACTTTAAAGGCGCAATACTCATCATATAAATGATAAGGAGTGGACTTGAATGTTTAAATACAAAACTAATAATGAAGAGATGTTATAAATCTACAGTCCTAAAAAAAGTGAGATCTTTTAAAATGTTTACAAGTTAACTTAAGAAAAATAATTATTATTACTTAAACAGTTTCCAATCCTTCCTTTAAGGTTATGCCCAACTTTATTTATATTTTGCCTTTAAGCCCCTTCCAAAATACCTGAGTGAGCCCCTGACCAACCAAACACACAAACTAAAATACTGCGGACAGATATCTACATGTATCGTCGCAGTCTTGTAGACTTACCCACACTGCGTATGGAAATGCTCTTCGCATGTCCTTAATTCCTCCGTTGCCAGGACAACTGAGGATAGTCCGAAACTCAGAGTGCGGGGGGTTACCTATTGCTTCGATTCTAGGGTGTTACTGGTGCGGTTGAGATAAGCGTGCGTCTTGTAGGTGTGGCCCTAAATGACAGTCTATATATATTTTCTATTGCTTTTGCAACTTGATGCGTCGGCAGGCGTTACATTTAAAAACATTGAGATCGACTTATTTGTGCTGTAATTCACACAAAGTGCACACGACGACAGTACAATAAGAGCGAGCGAGATGGCGACCAAGGGGTGCGGATAATCGGTCTGCACTTGAATAAACTTGCATTACATCTGTTGTTTTGGGTACAGTCTGCCGTTGGCTAGACATTCGAGTAGTAATTAAACAATTGCACGTCCCGATTGTGCCACTGGCGTTGTTAATTGTTGTGCGAGGCAAACATTGCAAAAAAACAAAAAACAAAATCGGCGACTGACCGTGCTAAGAAAACTTTAAAATACCAAAAAAAAAGCTAATGTTTGAATATACCAAATATTACAAAAAATACTGGAAGAAATGCAATTAGCAATGATTCAAAAAATATGATATCCATCAAAAATAATTATTTTTATTTATCCAGTTTTTTATTCGCTGTGTTTTCAAAAAGAAGAGCAATGATAAAATATAAGCATTTCAGATTATAGTGTATGGCAAATGCACAGGTTTTTGGTTTATTTGAATATCAGTAGTATACACAATCGTATTTAAAAGAATCATGCCCAGATTGTAGGGCGTTTCGTTCGAAAATTGACTTGATGGATATGCGGCGTGGACTGGGCATTGCATCCTGAATTGATCTAATGATTTGTACAATATGTTAGTAATCTAGTCAATAAACATAATAACATCGGCCTAAGCGTGGGGTTTGGGTTCTAGACCCAAAACATGCTCTTCAATTAAAATACTACAATATATAAATATATACACGCCTCAGCAGATCGGATCGAATAGTGGAATTCGTTTGTTGTTTTGGGCCACTAGTCACCCATGTAGACAAAATCCTCGTCCTGGTCTTCGTCGGGCTGACGCACGGCCAAGGCAGTTTCCACAAGATAATACAGACACTTGTATTCGCCACGCTCCTCTCGACTGGCACCTTTAAAGATATGTCCGAATTATGTCTAATTTACTCGATACTCGATAAGAAATTAGTTACCCTGCGATGGCGATGAAGGCTGGATTTGACCAGTTTCGTCTTCGTTGGTGGTTACCAAATCATCCGCCCTCAGACTATTGACAATGATCTGTTGATTGGAGCTGTTTGGGATTGTGGTCTCGAAATCTGAGGCCTGCATCAAATCATTATTGGAGGCTGCTAACTGTTGATTGCCTTTACGAGTTAAATTATATGTTGAAAATAACTAAAATTGGCTGTGCAATGTGCATGTAGAACTTACCATCAAGCTTCATACTCTGCTGGTTCGACTTCCGACAGGCGGCATTCTTAGCAGATCCCTTGGAGCCAGAAGTACTTGGATTATTTCCAGCCGAGGTAGCGACTTCTTCAGTGCTGAATACGGTCCTGAAAAAGAAAAGCCCAGATTAAAGGGTCTTTCAAAATTAAGATCAGCTGATCCCAGCTACTCACTTCATGACGCTTTGCCAATCATCAGAGTTCTCGAAGCGTACTTCCTCCTCGCTGTTATGCTCACAGGACTCGTATCCTTGGCCGCTCTCCTCGCCCTCCGACCTGTGGATTAAATATAGTTCTCAGGATCATAGGAAATTTTTAGAAACGATCTAAAAATATAGATGAATTTGTGGGAGCGGCGGTTGTACCTAGGGGCAACCACAAAGGAGCCGAATTCATCTTGATAGCAGTATATTGAATCCTCTTGGTTTTCGGACTCCGTCTTTGCTTGCTTGCTCTTGTCATTACTCTTCACGACAGTCTGCCGCTTCCGTCCGCGCTTAGGTGGACTTGGTTTCTCTTCGTCATCGAATTCTGGCGGCAACTGACCGAAAAGACTGTACGGCAGTATGGAGGTGGCGGAATTGGGGGTAGTGCTGGAGGTGCCAGCGTTGGCAGAGACAGCGGCCGAGCCTCCGATGGCCGCCGCCTTGCGCATCTGATAGTTCTGGATCTTATCGATCATGGTTGCTTGAAGCGACGAATGAAGGCTTTGGAATCCAATCGGGTTGTTTGCAATTGCTTGTTGCCAACTTTGAGGAGGGAATAGGTGGGAAAGGAGTAACTATAGCTAGTGAACACAGATCAGAGCGACCGCTAGGTACCTGTAGATAACGCTGTCCTCGTATTCCGGCTCCATTTTGACTATTTGCCCGTTGGGACCCTGCACATACTTTTCGAAGTTGGTCAGGACATTGGCAATGCCCTCGTGGATTTCCCCACCACCATCTACCTCCTCAGTGGCACCAACAACCTGAAAGGGAGTTGTTATGCCCCAGAATAAAATGTGACAAATAAACTACTTACCACTTCAGAGGCAGGACTGCCATGAATGGGATGAGGAGTACTTGTCAAGTTTAAGCCTAAAGCGCTTGATCCGGAAGAGTTAGGACTGACTTTTTTTCCCCGCCGCGAGATGGTGAAGTGCAAAGGATCGTTTCCCTCACGTCTAATCATTTCAGGCAGAATTCGGCGACGGGCATTGATGAACCAGTTACATACCTGTAGCACGGTTAGATTAGCTTCCTGGGATAAGGTAAACTTTTCCGCATCGCTGGGATAGGCGTTATAGCGGTGCTCATAGAGCCAACGCTTTAAAATCTTTACAGAGTGCTTGGGCAGATTTCCACGACGTTTGCGTAGCGATCCGTTAATATCGATGTGATGATCCGTGTCCACCATCATTTCATGATAATTTTGCACCTCGCTGCCATCCACAACACCCTGTTCGGGGGTCAGGTCCTCCTCGACAATGCCATCGGCGGAAAGAGTATCTATCACGGCCATAGAGTCGTCAGCCTGAAGAGAGTCCTGGTCTAAGCTTGAGTCAGAGTTGAAGTGGTCGCGACCGGCGGCTAATATCGAAAATGAAGCAAGGTTAGACTAGTGTTGTAACTAGAGTCCCTTCAAAAATGCCAACTCACCTTCGCTTTCCAGCAAGCTCGCCTGGACATGGGCCTCGTGCATCATGTCCTGGATATTCTGGCGCACATGCCGATCCAGGACCATATTGACTTCTTCATGGTCCGGCGAGATCATTGCAGCTTCAACTTAACGCTTGAATATAACAAAAAAGAAATTTCTTTAATATTAACACCGAAAATCTTCGATGTCGACTGAAAACATTTATTTACAAGTTATAGTTCTGATTTCGTTGAACAAATTTCACTTTTAAGAATATTTTCGAGTTGAAAACTATTCGTGTTGTCACCAGGTGCTTTGAGATTAAACTAACTTTTTTCTAAGTCAGACAAGTCCTTTAGACACTAAAGTCATGGCCAACTAGGGCTCAAAAATGAAATTTTCAATACTGATTTTAAATTTAAGCCTACTTGTTTGTATTTTTGTTGTTAAAACTTTAAAAATAATACAAAACAAGTGCAGCTATTTGAATATAGAGATAATTGAATACATAAATCCGAATTTAATCACAATTTAAATTTAAAAGAAGTTGGTGCACTATCGATTACTATCGCAAAGGTATCGCGTTCGCACACGAGAAACCATGACATATAACATGTCAAATTGACACTTTAGCCAAAATATTTTGACAAATTCACTGCGCGCGTAAATAACGGGCGTCTTGAGCAACCGGGGATTCACCTGCAGTATCCGAACATTTGCCAATGGCATTTAATTGCACTTAACACTTGATTTTCGAGAGTTATAACCCTCGGACCCCCAATCCAGATTGTGGATAAGGATAGTGGTGACGGGGCACGTCGTCAAAGCCGATGCATCTCGGTTGTTTTGATTGCACACTTTACGCGGTTTAAAGGTAATAATAGGATCGTGAAATTAACAATATTCACACGGTTTTCAAATAGTTTTCTTCGTTTTTCTCCTACTTTGCAAACAACAACAATATTAGCGACGAAATAAGTCCGATAAGCGCTTATGTGCGATAAATTAATAATGGGAGTCAGTTCGGATGCAAGTTGCAGAACTAGTTCCTTATTTAACTACAGTTCGAATTTAAATAGCGGCGCGAAGTTAAGTTAAGGCTTAGAAACGAATGATTTTAAAGCGAAGAATTGAAATCGATTATGCAATTATGTAATTTATATTTACATTGTAGACTATATTATTTTAGTTTAAGGAGGGACTATATATCTTAGGAGCACAATGTACTTCTTTTAATTGGTTAATCAAAAAACTAGTCACAACCTTAAGGTATTATATTATCTCAAGGTTAATATTTTTAGAAACTGGACCGGCACCAATTAAAAATATTTTTACAACCCTGGGATCTCGGATTAATATCTTTAAGTTTGTACAAATGGTACATATTCCGTGGGATCTTTTCTTTTCCCCAGCATATACAGCATATACAGACATACAGACTTAATTAGTTATGGCTTTAAAATGATTAAAAAACGGTTTTTCATTGACAACTAAAATTTTAAAAATTAAACTTATAAGCTTAAAATATTACTTTCGTTGAATGGTATTTTTAAGGAAATTTTCCAGGGTCACACCAAAAAATTTTGTAAACAAAAATGGAATGTGTTCTGGACGAAGAGCTGCTGCTGAACATAAAATGTAGTGATCAGGAATATGAGGACGAGGAAGACGAGAAGATGGGGGTAGAGGAGCATCAACCACCTCTGGAATCTATAGCCCACAGTGCCTCATTCAACGAAGATGACTCCGATCCGCTGCAAGAAACTGCGACCACCTGTAATTTTCCGTGGATCTTCGAAGACAGCGATGTTCTTATACCCGATGACAATCTAGCAGACATCGTGTTAAAAAGGGAGGAGTCTCTCCGGCCAGCTGCCCCGAAGCGTGGACGTGGTCGTCCAGCCGTAAATTCCGGAAACTACACTTCTTCCTGTGGTCAGCTATGGAGCGTGGCCAAGAATCCTGAGGTTTCCCGTGAGGAACTCCCTCTTTTGGGTCAACCGGCTTGTGGAAAGGGACCCGCTCGCACAGTTTCTAATGCAGTTGAGGCCTGGATGCTGCTCTTCGACGATGAAATGCTGCGGTCACTGCTCCGCCATGTCAATGAACAGATGCGCAAGCGAAAGACACCCACGACTGTCCAGCGACCCCTGGACATTGTGGAACTGCGAGCATTCCTTGGCCTAAGCTATCTTTGTGGGGTATTCCGTAACGCTCGATATAGTGGTCCTCTGGAGGAGCTCTGGACCCTGGAGCTGGGCAACGCCGTATTTCGTGCATCTATGACACTTACTCGATTCGACACCATATCCGAATGTCTTGCGGGGAACTGTGGCTGGTCCGAGGGTCAGAAGTTGTGGCAGCGACTGCTAATCAACTGCCGATCCTACTACGGCTGCAGCAGTTGGTTGGCTGTGGATGAGACAACATGTTCAGTGGCTAAGTCCCGCATGACGTTTTGCTGCGACGCAAGGACGTTATATATGGCCAATGCTGTGGTTAGCAGAAACCAGAGATGTCCGGACAAAGATGTTGAGCAATTGATTTGCGATTTCAAGACGACGGGAAGGAATGTTACTCTAGGAACTCGGCATCTAAATTTGACACAGTGTGAGCAGCTAATGCAACGTCAAATCAGCTCGTTGGGGGCGCTGGATGCCACTTCACCAGATTGGCCGCGCCATTGGACCGCCGAATCACCTGTGTTCAATGGTACCTCAAAGCTCATTCCCTTTGATGGGGAAGCTGTTTTGTGTTGTGGTCTCAGCTCCCAAATAGATGCAATTCAGGCTTATCGGCAAACCTCGAATGCCTGTCAGCAGTTCCACGAACTCTCACAACGTTTCAGTACGGCCCACGCCATTCCTGCCTCATTGAGAAAACAGGCTAATCCCTTCCTTCAACTACTTCATTTTATTCTAAATGCAGCGGCTGTAAATGCTTGGATCCTTTTAAGACTTTCAGCAAAGGGCGATGCCACCATGGATCAGCGTGACTTTCAACGGCAGTTGGGTCTTTTCCTTACCCAGCAGAGATTACAACGACGCCTTCAGCGTAGATCAACAAGCACATCGCTTGTAATGCGGTTGCAAATCTGCGAGATTCTTGGTCAATCTAGTCAGCGACTGCTAAGTGAGGCAACTGGCGAAGCCAAACTTACACAAAGCGTGGGCGTGCTAACGCCGGATAAGATGAGCCTGCCGTTGGGCGTTAGTTTGGCCAGTCGCTATGGCGAAAAGCATCGTAGGTGCAAGCCCTGCGCTCGAAATAAACGCGGCACCAAATCCCGGACGCGTTGCCAACAGTGCCTGCAGCATAGATGTGGCAATCACCTCATATCCCGTTGCTACGAGTGTGTCGGCATTGTTCCTGGCCAACTGCCAGAGGGTAATATGCGGGATGAAGACGGCACATAGACATTGACATTAAATAACATTTATTAAAGGGACGCTTATTTGCTTGGGGGAGTAAATGGGGATGGCTTGCAATATTGCTCAATGGTGCAAACACGTTCTTGTGCTAAAACTACGATGACAACGGCTTAATATTCCAAACTTGGATCTCTAAAACTTGTACTGGAAGGGCTTGGGTGCCTTGTACTTGCTGGCCACTCCCGAAGATTCCATAGGATCGCTCTGGTCAAGGAATAGACTAAGGAACTGTTCGTTCTGCAACTCATTAAGGGGCATCTCCAGCTCGCTGCATGATTTCACAATCTCAGCGCAGGCACGCAGATCCTTGCGCATGTCTAAAAGGCAATGGGAGTTATTCAATGCCTACTGATGATTTTAAGACTTACATTGATAATTAAAAAGCAGGCTGAGGCAACTGGAGCAGGCCGATCGCTGCTGGTGCTGAAGAAACACCTCTATAAGTCGATGCACGGCATCTATATTGTTGCGGCCCAGGAATGAGGAGCACAGGGGACTGGCTCTGTTGATAAAGGAAAAGATTTGCTCTTCAGTCTTTTAAAAAACTCAACCACCTTACCTCCGCTCCACCAGCTCTTGTAAGTCCTTGTAGTGCTCAAACAGTTCCGTCGCTGATTTCTGGTCACAAAACCAATCGCTAGCGAAACATTGCTTCCATACACAGGCCACCACAAAGATGTCCTTGTGCTCACGGTGAATTGCACGCGCCACCTCCAACAGCGAAACCAGTACCGCCTCACTCTTCTGGGCCAGAGTCTCCTCAGATATGGTACGAAAAGCGGTTCGCGCCATCCGCCTGCCTTCCTCAGAAGTCATACTTACCCCATAGCCGCGATGTAGGGTCATAAGGGCTACGTCCGAGTTGCCATTGTTCCATAGGGCAATAGCCCGAAAGGGTGCAAGGTCCGCGTAGGTTTGTGAGAAGGGGTGCTCCAGCTGACGGCATGTTTCCGCCAGTGCTTCTAACTGCTGAAGCTTCCGCTGGGCACTCAAATACTTCAGGCACGACACGAATACCTCATTGGAGGGCAACAGGTTGCAGCGAATGCACTGCCGGATCAAGTAGAGGAAGTCCAGCTTGTTTTTTATTTCCAACGTTGCCATCAGCAGGTTGTCTAATTGTGCCTGCGACAGGGATCTGATATCTAGTCCTAGCTGGGGGGAGCGCAGTGCCTTCAGATCGGTCATCATGCCCTTGGACACGAGGCCCACGCTTTGGCTAAAGCTGGTGGAGGTACTGACCGTTTTTCCCTCTGCTGCCACATTGCTATTGGCATCCGTCTCCTGGTTTCCCGACGTTTGCCTCTTCATTAGGCTGTCGCGCAGTTCCTCCCATTTCTGGGTCTTCCTGGTGACCAGGTCGTTGGTGAAGCAGTCGATGGCATCTAGCTGCGTGGACTTCCTTCTCTGCCGCTGCGTGCCCGGCCACAAGAAGGCAGAAATGTAGTTTTGGAACCGCTGCAGACCTTTGGGGGATCCGGGTGCTCCTGCCACCGTGGTGGTGCCACTGCTGGTCAAGCGTGTCAGCATAGCCATGGTTTAAGGGTCACCTCGCGTCCTCCGCAGCTCTTAACACACCTCCTTTGCCTCTCTTTTGTTTCGGGTTGTATAATTGTGTATTTTCTGGGTTTGTTTTCAATGGTGTGACCATCGGCGGTCTGTGAAAAATTGCCATTGCGTAATGCCCTACTCGCACAGTGACTTAAAAAAGATAATTTATAATTCCAGAATTTCGATATATTATTTGAAAATTTATTTATTACATTTAAAGTTCTTTATTGCGTTATCATGTTTCGGGGTCACCTTAGATGCAGGGGATTTCCGGTTGTTTTGCTAATTGCTAATATATTAAACTTATTTTAGTTTAAAAGAGCCAATATTTTACTAGTACTATTACCAAAAGTTTACCCCCTAAATAATCAACAACAAAAAATATACGAAAGGATTGCGATTTATTGACGTATAAAGCTCGCTGCCTTTTTCTTAAATCATAGTTCTTAAGATAGATATTATATGCAGATCGGGAATCGGAAATCCTTGAGTCCAATACTAGCACACCAATCGGTAGGAGATGTACCGCCCTGCTGTCTCCGAGGAACGGATGATCTTGACCACTTGACCGCGCTTCAGTCCAAAGTATCGGGCAACCGGATCACCCGCCTGGATCCTCATCAACATGTTCTCCTTCAATTTATATCGGCTGAGTAGCTCCTGCTTTTCCTCGACGGTCATGACTACGTGCTCCGGAACCAATTCGTGCTCCGTGATGTTGATCAATAGTTCGGATTCGAGAAACTGCTCCAGAATGTACTTGGGAGCCATGTCCACGAGTGATTGTTTGGCAGAGGGCGTCATTCCTCCCTGAACCACAACGATAGCCCGGTGGATGTTCTCCTCCTGCATTCGGGTACAGTAGGTCTTGATGGTTTTGATGCCGATCTTAGGTTCCTCTGGGAAGAAGACAAACATCTGATCTGTGGGATCGTCGTTGTGGGCCACTAAAACAATCAAATCGGAACGAGCGGGCCGCTTTTCGCTGGGTTTGTCGCCAAACATCTCCTTAAATTGCTCCAAAGTCTGGTCCAACTCGTCTTGGGTCACCAGGTAACCTCGATCGTGGCTCAGCTGCATAATGGTCTTGCGAATCCGCCACAATTTGTAGGTTTCCGCCTCATCATCCATGATTATTTGTTAAAATTAATAGTTTCCAAAGCTAATGATAAACAGAAACAGAGCACGCGGATGTAATAGTGTGACCGGAATGTTCTGCGGCGAATAATACCATGCAATATGTTGAAACATACTAAACTGGGTTATATGGTCATATGATTAGTACATATTCGAACCTGATGTTGTAACGGTTTTAGGTAAGTAATTCAAATAACTAAAATAAAATAATTTATCATCTATCTAAATGTTATGTTAATTTTGTTTCCGAATGTATCAATTAAAATATTTTTTAATTTAATGTCTAGAAAGAATTTATATTTTATCCATTGACCTTGTAAAGTACCTATGTATGTCATTTCAAATTTTATAATTTCCTTAAATAAATATAAGGAATCGCATTTACATCTCTTCAACAAGAACATGTTCCAAAATTTCAAGAACTTGGAAACATACATAGGTTTACTCGGCTTATCATACCTTTTTGTGGTATTCAGTTATTATATTTGAACCACTCATTGTCAATACGTTCAATATGTGAGCTCACGTTATGTGACCCCGTAATGAACCCAACTCACTTTCCTCGCAATATTTTACGTGCAACATTCAATTACGGCCCAGACGGGCAAATAATATGCCACGGTGGCATGGACGCTATTCTTATCCTTTGTCTGCGTGCCGCTCACTAAAAATGCCGTTAATATTTCGCATCCTATTTCCCACACCCGAGTCCAATTATTTGGAACATCATCGGGTATGACTTTCGTATCCGCACGTCGACGACTCACCAACGTCAATGACTGACAGTTTATTTAATAGAAAATTCGCAATGTGTGTGGTGTGTGCTGTTTTGCGTTTGTTTTCCAAATAGTTTTTCCTCGACGGCCTCATTCCACCCGCCCAACGGCATTGACAAATTGTGCGGAAAATATGCATAATAAATGAAGCCACGCACTTTGAACTTTTGCAGTTATTAAAACCGGAGAGCGTGTGAATTCCTTACGACGGGATGACTGTGGATGGGGAGCAAGAGTTTAGGAACTTCAACAAATTATATTTAATTTTTAATGTTTTGTAATGCATCCCTTTATAATATTGTATTATATATATTTGCAGTGGGATCTAAAAGAACATTTAAAAAAAATCTTAAACCCCACTGCCAATAGTTTTCCCTGCGAATGCATTCTTATCCTTATTTGGAATTTATTGGTTTCTGTTGCTCATCCCCAGCTCGATGATATTGAAATTTCAAGCTTGCCCAACGCTCCATATGGCCAGACCACATTAAAACGGGCAAAGTGCAGGATACGCATGGCAAAAACAAAGTTCACAAAGCGACCGAGAAGCAAAGGCAAAAAAAAAAAAAGGAAAAAAGAGAAAAAAATGAACCCAGAATAAAGGGAATCTAATAAAAATCCACTTTGTGCAAGTATGAAAAATGAACGATGAATTGCATTATAAATGCAAAAATATTGTAGGAAGCACGACACCACCGCTGGACAAGCGCGTCAGAAAATCTGATCAAAATTATTGAGGCGCACAGAATGGGAGGAAAGTCTGTGCTTGGGGCGTGGCATTCACTGCAACGGAACGTGGCGCACTTGCAAAGTTTTTGCGGCGTCGCTAAGCTGTTGATAACGCCGATGATGACGACGCGATAAGCGCGGCGATAATGTTTTGGGTGTCGCCGAACCTCCCCAATTCAGGTGAGTTAGGGGAGCAGTGATGACGAATATCAGGAAGTTTTATCTAGGTACATTGGGTACAATTTTTTTTCTACCTAATATTTCATAATTTTTAGAATATTTAAGCATCAAATCTAAAACAATAAAAGATGTTTTGAAAGGTGGTTTGATTTAGATTTTATTTTTAAGGGTTGAGACCAGACATTGATAAAATTATTTTTAGATAAAATATATAATTATAATTACAGTTTATAAATTAAGTATTTTCTATTTCTATAATCAAGTACCTAAGATAGATAAAATGTGTTAAGATAGAGTACCTAAACCATCACTTGATGAAAGCCAGGTGAGCTCCAATTGGCAAGGACAAAAGCCAGCACATCCTTGTGGCCATGGTCGTGGCTTGTCGTCCTGTGCGTGCGCTGCATTGAGAAATTTCCTCGAAATGGCATTTATTTTCGGTTTAGCTGATGATGAGCCACGGATAATGGCGCGGGGGATAAAGCTAGCGAGCAGCCGGGCAGACGAGCAGCGCCGGGAATTTATAATTATTTGCCAGATGACTTTCTACTGCATATATCAGCACCTCAGTCTGGCCATTGACATTGAGCTAGGCAAATCAGTTGGGCTCAATATTAAGGAAAATGAAGGAGAAAAGAACCAAAGGTTTAGTAATCATATAAAAAAAACGAATAAAATGAAAGTAAAGAATGAAGTCTTGCACGTAAAAAGTTAAAAAAACTCATTAATCTCTTCATATATAAATAGCAGATAACGTAATTACATAAATAAAACTTAAAATGTGAATTACTCAAACGATTTTGAGAGTTTTCCCCTCAGTGTAGTCCGAAGTTAATTTTCGAAACTAACAATAACAGCAATCCTCTCACTCATTCAGATCCCCCAGTGTCCTGGTTTCGCTTTGTGCATAAATATTGTGAAAAATCGAGTTTAGTTCAGGTTAGGGCTTTTATCCGGGAGCTGCAATCTATCGTTAGCATGCGGCAGCAATCACTGCGAACCCCCCTTTATCGCACCCCTCCTGACCCACGCCAATGCCATGCAATTATTTGTATAGGAATTTAAATTGAATGTCAGTCTGTTTGTTTCCATAACATACACTGACTCACACACACACACACACTGGCACTCGCACTTGCACATTGCTGACAGTTTAAGGAACATGTGGAGGCAGCCAGGACGAAAAGGAAATCGAGGATGGGTATGGGCATGAAGGAGACCGGGGCCAGGACCAAGACCAGGACATTGTCGCACATAAGCAGTTCTTTGGTGTTCCTTCGATGCTGCCGCTCGGTTCCTTGTCTGCTGTAAAATTCCAAATTTGTTTTATTTGATTTCTGCGCTGCTCTCGCTCGTTTCCCGTTTTCTTCTTATGCTTTTCCAGCAGTTACAACTCCTGCTGCATATTTCCCTTTATGCAAAATATATGCTATAAATGGCCCGCCCCCCCATCCGCCTTTATTTGAATATCGTGTCACATGTCGCACGCAGTTAGGTGCCTTCGTTGTTATTGTAATTGTTGTAAATGTCGCCCAGCGACAATATCGCATTTGCATATTTCTCTGCCAACATACACAGATATATATATTTATATATATTTTAACCTCCTCTGGTAACCCCTTTACTACCCGAGCTCTGTGCATTTTTACTTAATTTTATTTGTATTGGATTTGCGCCGCTGTCTCGGCGAGTCCTGTCTGCGTGTGTGTGTGTGAATGTTCAGCGCAGAGCAGCGCGATTTCGGAATTCTGCAATTTGCACAATAAATTTTAATTCAATTTACTGTTAAACTCACCCAGAGACACAACAACTAACTAAATGCGGACGCGGAAGTGCGCATTCTGGCATGACAATCGTCCTCCGGCGAGAATCGCCAGGATTTAGCTGGAGGAAGGAGTAGGGATGCAGCAGGAGATTACCATCAGCCAGGGGCTACAGTGAAGCCATGCCAAGGGGGAATATCCCAGGATATGTTTATCGTGATTGCACTTGGTAGTGTTTAGATTTAGTTACTATTAAATTGTTAAACTGGTTTTTGTATGGGTTTATTAAATAATTACATTAATAACTTACATTGATAGTACTTATTTAAATATCTTTACGATTATTCAAATATATATAACATGTAATTGTACTGGAAGTTTGTTATTATTAAACAATTTTATTAATTAACAGAAAAGTAATACCTAATAAAAACCTCTTTAATGATCAAAATCCATCATAACTCCGTTTAACTGTAGTTAAATATAGAAAATTGTCGCCACAATCGCAAGTTCTGTGCCCTCCTCCGCCTTGACCCCCTTTGCCAAGGAGACTTCATACTGCGACCGCAGGACCAATCTGCCGTTAGTTAGAAAACTTTATGCGCTGCAGGACCGCGAAACGGGCAATAAGTTGCGCTTATTATGATAATGGGCGCGCATGTGCAGCCATTTTGATTGGGCTGCGGCAGGGTTGTAGTGGCAATAGTAAATGCAACGCCAGTTATCAAACGTAAGTGAATTGAATGTGCGCAGCTGCAGGGTCGAAAAGCGGAAACGGAAATGTAAATGGGAATAGTGGGGGTTAGAGTAGGGTTACGCAATCGGCTAAACTAATTTGGAATTGTTGTCAAAAGTGCGAGGCAATTTTCCTAGCCTTTGTTTTTAAGTGCTTTTCGTTTGTTGCGTTGCTGTCGCTGATGTTGCCAAAGGAATGGAGCGAAAGCAGCAGGATCAGGACCGGGGTGATCCTGGCACGAAGGATGAGCCGATGACTGTAGTGTAGGTGATCTTAGGCTTGGTTTCTTCTTCGAGTTTAATCTAGATCTACTTTGCAGGCAGTCTATGACATCGTTCTACATCTACAATCCCTACGAGAAGCGATGTGTGGAAGTGCCATTGACGTAAATATATTTTTCTTTAGTTTTCTTTTTTATAATATTAATATTTTATTATTTATTTTAAATCAAGTAACTGTGAGGCGTTTATTTCTCTGCTAAAATGTGTGATAGGAACGGGGATTCTGGCTATGCCGCTGGCCTTCCGTTGCTCGGGATTCGTGGTGGGCGTAGTGATGTCCATTCTCCTCATGATTCTACTGACGTACTCCATCCACTTGCTGGTCTGTAAGTGGCTACCTCATGAATCCCATTCCCTATTTTAACTACCTGTAGGGCAAACAGATTGATGGCATGACAGAGTGTTGTCGAAGGCGTCAAGTTCCTCAAGTTTCCATGCCCGAAGCTGTGAGAATCGCCTATGAGGAGGGTCCCGAATGGGTGAATTGCTTTGGTCGCATAGCAGGATTTTTAACCACCTGCGTTCTGGTCTTTGGACAGTTTCTTCTGTGCACAGTTTACCTGGTCTTTGTGGCCAAGAACTTTAAGGAGATCGGTGATCACTATTGGGAAAGATTCAATGAGCGATATTATGTTTTGGGTGCCTGTTTGGTGCTTCTGCCGCTCTTCATGATCCGTCGGCTAAAGTATCTGGTGCCATTGAACTTGGTTTCCAACTTCCTATTATACTTCGGTTTTGCTCTAATCATGTATTACCTGTTTGCTGGTCTTCCTGATATTAAGGATCGTGAGCTGGCCACGCCTCCCTCTGAATGGATTGAGTTCTTTGCCATTGCCGCCTTCTCTCTGACAGCCGTGGGTTCTGTAAGTTTAATAAGAACTTGAAAGAAGTCTTTTGATCTTGTGATTGAAGAAAATCCACTTTCTAGATGCTCGTTGTTGAGGCACACATGGCAAAGCCCCAAAGCTACCTTGGCCTCTTTGGAGTCCTCAACTTGGCTGTGCTCTTCATCCTGATCTCGAACATGTTCTTCGGCATCATGGGCTACTGGCGGTTCGGGGAAAACGTCCAAGCGAGTGTCACTCTCAACATTCCGAAGAATGAAATGTAGGTAACCTATTAAGTAATATGTTTTTGAGTTATTTTGATTCGAATTCCTTTTCCTTACCTAGCCTGTCCCAGTTCATTAAGGTCTTCATTGCCTCAGGAATATTCCTTAGCTATCCTCTAAATGGCTTTGTAGTGATCACAGTGATCTTTAGTGATTATACAAATGTCAGTGAGAGGAGAAACCATCAAACGTTGATTGAGTATATAGTACGCTTAACCTTTCTGATACTGACAGGTGAGTTTTAAGTTTGATAATTAATTAATATTTTAATTATTAAAACAACTTCTCAGGTGCTGTGGCAGTGGGTGTCCCTAACTTAGCAGCACTTACAGAATTGGAGGGAGCCTTTTCCCTGAGCAACCTGAATCTCCTATGTCCGGCTTTAATCGATGTATTTCTTAATTATAGAAAAGGATATGGCAGGCTGAAGTGGAAGTTGATCCGCGATATTTTGCTCATACTGATTGGTCTTATTTTCGGGACTGTGGGCTGTACGGTGGCCATGATACAGCTGATCCATGACTTACGAATGACTTTGAGTAATGTTTAAGAAAAAGACGCTTCAATTTTTTAGATTTTTCTCAGCTACTTTTTGGTGCTCATTCCTAGAAATAAAATCGGATTTTCCAAGTTGTCTGCCTTTGTTCATTGTTGTTGCTGTTTAAGGACCAAATATTTGGTTGCTTGTTCGGTGGCTTTTAATTAATTGCTAGCCAAGTGTTTGCCGGCTGCTGGCTTATCCCCTATTAAGTCGGTTGTCTAAGCCCCAACCGTCCGCTTCTTGTTTGCCCAACGTGGCGTATACTCGACTAGGCGAGGCTAAGGCTAGGCGTACATCAAGTATACGCCACGTTTAATTAGCTAAACTGAGCCACATGGCGGCCGTCGATCATTTAAAATGAAGCCCGCGGCCCGGGTAACTGTAATCAAATGCAGCCAGAAGCTAGAAGCTGGTAACCAGGAACGAGGACCGCAAGTCCCGGAATCGTTTGCCTGGTTTGGGGGGGATTTTAAAATTGAATTCCTTGCCTCAATGGAGCGCAAATACAAAAGGCAAAGTTGCCTAGCTGCCGCACAATAAACTAAAAGACAAATACACAAATACAAATTCCGAGCCAAGAAGAAGAAGTACAATCCCTGCTCCTCCTGCAGGCCCCCTGCAAATATATATAAATGTATATATATAAAGATATATAAATAGGCACAGGAAAAGCAACTGCCGACGACGGCGACTGTTGACTGCGCCAGTGTAAATAGCACGGCCAGCGAAATACAATAAAAAAATAAATACGAAAAAATAGTCCTGCAGCTCCTCAAGGAACTGCACGAAGGACAAGGAAGACCACTACTGCAGCAAACACACACAAAACACAATTTCCATTCTTCAAATAGAAATACAACAAAAAGAAAAGCAGGAAAATAGAAACCGAGAATAAAACGTTGCGACTGCCAGCGACAGCAGCCAGGATGAAGGGAATCCCCCCACCCCCTATCCGAAACGAGAGGATGAGGACGAGTACGAGTATCCTGGGGCATGATTTTTGCAGACATGTTGCTTAAAACTTAATTTAGAGCGCCGCTTGCATTGGCCCACCAAAAAATAAGGCCCGAAACCGAAAAGCAAATCAACGGGAAAAAAAAACGTCGGGGGAAAAATAAAAGAGAAGAAACACGAAATGAGATCAGGATGGCAGCGGCGGCAGCAGCAGCAGGAGGAGCAGCAAGAGCCAAAAGGAAAAGCTCACATAGAAAATTTGCCAGCGGCCGCTGCTTCAACTAATTTTCGTATATAATTCCGTGGGCAGACAGGATGCGGAAGTGGTTGGCTGGGTGGGTAGAACTCTCCTGGCCTGGCAGCCAGTTTCTTGCCTAGTTGTCAGTGCAGCATCATGTCAGTGTCATTATCAAACAATTCCCCAGCAAACTAGGAAAAGCTGGCTGCTGCTGCTGCTGCGGCTGCGGAGCAAGTCCCACATGGTTGGTGGCTAAAATGTCGCTGGCCCCTTCCTTGGAGTCGCAGACAATGCGTGCCACAACTTCATTCCCGACTGTCTCGCTCCGTGTCTCGCCTGTCACATGTCCGCTAGTCGGGAGTCGTCGAGTCCTGTCAGGCCAAAACTCTCAAATTGAAAAAATTCCCATTTTAATACAATTATTTGTAGGCTAAAAAGGAAGAAAAACGAAGCATCCGCAAGACGATTCCAAGAATGGTTGGGATATACGAGTATATGTGGCAGGGGAAGAGGTATGATGGATGCTAGTCAGAGGGGTTGCAAACATTGTGATTATTATGATTCTTTAAACTTTATATAAAGATAACAATCCGTAACACAGTTTCTGTTTTATAATGGTTAGGGAAGTCAAGACAAAGGACTTATAAAGCACTTATTTTACTTTCTTCAAATATTAAATCTGAAAAACTGGTCATTCCTGTTTAACCAGACACTCGTAAGTATAAAAAATCCATCTGAAGAGCTTCACATTTCTCGGGCTGCGAAATGACTCCTCACAGTTGTTTGCGGAGGATTGACAGGGGCAAAAGGCAAAGGCAGTAGGATAAAAGGGGATCCTGTGGGCTAGATGAAGAGCCAGAAGCTAGTAGCACGGAGCTGGTAGCCCGAAGCCAGAAGCACACAGGTGAAGGTAACTCCTGGGGTCGAGTGTCTGAGGTCTCGTACTCTTCAAGCGGCTTTGGCACGTTCCATTTGTGCCGCCTAACATTTATTTACTTGGCTGACTGAAATGTCATATTTGCCTTTGGCCCACGTTTACTTCATTCTGATTGTATGTGATTTGCATGCCGACAGTATGGGAAAATTAAACCGCAAAAAGAGAGTGAGGTTGATGGAATAAAGAAAGATAGATAGATAGATTGAAAGAAAGCAAGCTAAATTGTCACAGCGGTGAGAGCATCTCAACTATTTACTTATTTATTTCGCATTGAATGAGAGAGTTTGCCTGAGAATTTTAGCCAAGTTCCCAGTATTTGCAGCGTTCCTTTCCAATTTGAAATGTGCACTGGGCAGTGACGTGGAATAATGCTGGTATGCCAGCCATCTAACCATCTATCCCTCTAAGCGTTCAGCCATCTATCCCTCCATCCATCCATCCATCCATCTATCCATCCATCCAGCTATCCAACTATTCACATCCTTCTGCTGGCATTTGCTTTTGTTTGCGGCATGCGATTTGTAGATTTTTCAAACCCAAAACGCTTTGGCAGTGGACACAGCGGCAAATAATGTAAGGCGGTTGGGGGAGGGATGTTGGATATGGGATCTGGTATATCCCACATATAGAGAGAGCGAAGAGATTCCGGACAACTGGTCAACAATGTGCCAGTGCATAAGTTGGCATTATGCAACAAATATGCAACACAGCCGGCTCAGAGCCTCGGGTCACATGACCGCTTCTTGCATGCTAAATTCTTCACAAATTTCAACCCCAGAAGGCCAAAAGAGTTGGCCAAATCACTCAGCTTGAGTTTGCTGACCGATTTGCATGCTCAAGCAGTCCGGACATCTTCAAGATACAAAGATACAACTTCTCGCCTGCACTGAAAATCAAAATTGACCTGGAATCGGGAATGGTTAAGTATTTTAATTTCAAGGGAAATCAATTTAAGGCTTGAAGGCCCTAATTTTTAACCTTCTTAGAGATATTTCTTTTACAAAATCGAATAATAGGAACATGGTTTAAGCTAAGCCTTACAGATCATCTTGCCTTATAATGATAAATATTTTTATGTGCAATAAACTTACTTCAAGTGCTTAAGAATATATATACGGAAATAGCTTTTTCCGAGTGTAAACGTCTGCAATCAGTGAGAGAGTTGAGAGTTGGGCATCTCCTTCCAGTCGAGGCTGCTAATTAAGTGTGTGAATTCCTATCGGGCGGGGTTGTTGTTGTTTTTCTAATGAACCAACTAATTGCATCTAACGGCAACTGCAAAAGTAATCAAAGTGGCAGGCTATGAACGGCGAGAGCCCAAGAGTCGGCAAAATGGCAATAATAACGAAACTTTGTTCAAGAATTTTTGGAATGTTGCACAAATATGCGCAAGAATGCAGGAAAATATGTTCGGACCAATGCAAACGTGATTGGGTGTTCGAAAGAGATGGCTAAAAAAGGGGCAAAAGACAGCTAGAAAGAGAGAGAGAGAGAGAGAGAGTGAAGTGGCAGACAGAAGCTCGTTCAAGTTGCTGTTGCTGGCTTATATCAATAATTGCCAAAAGCAAATTGGAAAAGTTATGCGCCTGCAGTTAATGCGACCAGCGGAAATAGTCGCAGTCAAAATGGCGCAACAGCCAAACGGAAGTGCCCCAAAACACCCACACTCACACACACACTCAAGTATGAATATCCAAAGTTGTTGACTGTACATTGGTTATTAGTATTTTAGTTTTGGAAAGAGTATGTCGATTCGGAGATTACATTTGTGGGGTATTAGGCTCTCTCAAGAACAATTTATTTTAAACTCAAAACTAAGAACTTAAACTGTTCTTTTCTTTCTAAACTAACTTAATAACTTGTTTTAAATGGTAGACCATTTTACATCTAAATAAATCCTAGCTTAATAATGTACTTAATAATATTATTTTGCTCCTGAAAAGATAAAGATAGAAATTACCTTAATTACTTGACCTTAACAATTACAGTAAAAACTCTTCGGTTTTAAAATGCAAAACTTTGCTCTTCCGATTTCTTCTTGTTTTGTTTCAAAATTTTGTTTTGCAACTTGTGTATTTTTTTCGCTTTCTGGCCGAAAGGAAAACTTGGCTGGCACTCGGGATTTGTTGAAGCAGCTCTTAAGATACTTTTGGTATGCCAATTGGCATTTCGGCATCGATTTGGGTTCTGCTTGGCTTGGCTTGGCTTGTTACTTTTGCGTTATTCAAACTGCGCCTCAACTTGTTCAGGTTGTTGGCCATGGAAAACCGCGAATTCTGTGCGGCTCATTGAATTGATATTCGCAATTAAAATGTTTCCCGGCCTCACTAATGATCGAAAGATGAGCCCTATAAAAGCAGTTGGTTCTGGCTAGATAGAGTCAAAATATACAAAATGAAACGAGGTTTAGTTTTGCTGGTGGTACTCAAAATGCTGACTTTCAGCGAGGTGAGTTGGTTAACATAAAATTTGATAAAGGATTTTCCTTTTTGCTATCCTCTTACCCTCAGTCCCGCTATGCCAAAGTAAACATCAACCTGGGTCTAACTGTGGGCGACGAATCACCAAAACCTATCACCGAGGACTTGATTCGTCTTTGTGGCGATCAAACGGATATTTCTCTTCGGGACTTGCACAAACTTCAGCAGGAGGACTTCTCGGATCCTTCGGAATCCATTCAGTGCTTTACCCATTGTCTTTATGAGCAAATGGGCATCATGCACGATGGCATTTTCGTGGAACGGGATTTCATTGATCTAGTTTCCGAAGCCACTAATCCGGACATTTGGCCAGAACGTCAGTGTCACCTGATCCGTGAAGGCAACAAATGCGCGATCGCCTTTAAGATCCATCAGTGCCGTCAGAAGATGAAAAATTCTTTGCTGGGCAAGGATGTGGAGGTCACCACGCCAGCGGAGTCCGAAGAACCTTTGCCCTAGGCTTGCTTGGATTGGTTAAAATTTGGTGGTGGTATCCGGGTTTTGTAATCAACACCATTTGCTTTTCGAAAAGTGAAATATATAAACAAATTTTATCAGTGTATGGAGATGATTTTGATATCGAGAAGGAATCAGGACTTTCAATCTGATGATGTTGATTTTATGGGGAAGAGGAAAACGTTGCTATTAGTAAGTATTATTTCTATACTTTCAAGTTGATTTTTTAAATCTTAATTAAGCTTTAGAAAATTTCAAATATAATCCTTTAAATAATTGATAATTTTATTGGATTTAATTTGTTGTTATTTTCACACCAATAACCATTAAACTTCAGTGTAATTACATGTCCAGACTCCACTTAGCAAATTGAACATCTTGGACATCTCTCTTGATCCGCTGCGGCGTTTTGAGATTTCCATATGGCCAAAGTCTGGGGCACTTGACTCGACAGCGACCATTAGCGTTCGGGTACAGATTGGAGATTTTCCTTGATGGAACCTGCGGTTACTTCGCTTTTCCATGGAAATTTTGCCACTTAGTGAACGGTAGAAGGCAGACGGTAGACGGCGGCAAGAGCATTGTTAACTAAGCAGTGTTCGTGGGTGCACACAGATGTGTAAATGACGCTAATGCCAGATCGAAGTTGGGAGTTTCCCTCAGACCACTTAAGACCAATCCCAAAGCAACCCAAACCTCCCACCATTTTGCCCACTTGTCTGCGATTTCGAGTGCATTTTGTGCGGCAATTATTTCCTTTTTTTTTTTTTTTGCTGTTCTCAATACTCGGCAATGCCGGCACTTGACTTTAAATTGTCGCCAGATGCTCTGTGACCACCTGAACTCTCGACTCGCTTTTCCCCAATTCCCATTTACCATTTATTTTGTGGTGCCACTCCCCCACTTGGATGCCTTTTAATTTGTTGCCTGCGCCAATTGTTAAGCAAAAGTGGCTAATTTGAAATTCTTTTGAGCGGAGTGCGCACATTTTTGAATGTCAACTTTCAGTCGACGATGTCGGCGACGTCTTCCCGAATGCAGCGCACCCGGTTTTTCCCGCCCTCATTTCCAACCGAGTAAAAGTGGGAAAGGCGGGAAAAGCGGAAGAGCGTCTGTCTTTGGTGGCTTTGGCTTTGTCTTTGTGTCACGCGGCATGAAATTGAATTTTCGGTCTGCACCGCCAGCAGAAGCGACAAGTGACAAAAGCCCGGCCAATTGTCGGGTGACCTCCAGGACACCCTCCTTAACACCCCCTTCCCCTTCCCCTTCCCAAAAAAAAATATATATAACCAGCCCCTCAACTACACCCCCTTAAGTCTTCAATTATGGCAAAAAGGAGGAGTGGGGAGGGCATACCATCGCCATTTTGACACTCATACAGCGTAATTCGAAATGAATGAAAATTTCTTTTTGTCTTTTCCGTCGGTTTTTCAGCTGTTGATGCTCTTGTTTTTCCTCTTTTGGTTTGATTTTTTTGTATGCCTTTGCCTGGTTTTGTTGTTCTTGGTTTTTCTGCTCTTGAATTTCAATTTACATAAGTCTCTGCCGCCTTTCCATCTCTTTGTTCGACTTTCATCTTAACTTTTGCCTACTTTTATTTCTCCTTACTGGCTTCTCGAGTTGGCGGAGTAGCTGTTTTTGTGGTTAAATGTAAATTTTATTGAATTTAACTCTTTTTGTGTCTGTCTGGCTGAGCGTTAAAGAGGAAATTGCATAATTATGCCCAATCTTGAGGGCAATCCGCAAATGTGCAATCGAAGAGCAGGGCAGGGCAGAGCCGAGAGAGCTCTTGGGAAAAAAGAAGGAAATGGATACTGTTTTCCTGCTTGTGTTTGTCCCCAGGCTTACAGTTCTTATCCTTTGAAGGCTTTTTAATTGAGAAAGCCTCTCGTATGCAAATCTTTGCTGGAAATAAAAGCAAAAAATGCCAAACTACACACAACATTTTTATTTCAACTATTTCACCTTTTGAGAGTTTTAATAATTTGATTATTTTATAATTATTTATTATTTTTTTCTTAATCTTTTTATGTCTGAGCTCTCTCTCTGCTCATCTTGAAAATTGATTTCGCTCATCAGACAGCGAAGCAGATAAAAAGTGCCGAGAGTCTGTCAAAATTGAGATGAAACGACGGGTGGAGATGCGATCGGTGTTGCCGAAAAATACATTTATATTGCTACATTTATGCAACATTTCAATCATTAATAAATCAATTAAAATAAATTGGAATTTTGTGCGCTGATGTTGAACATGAAGAGAATATTCATGCGCTGCCAAAGGGGTAAGATGATTTTGGTGAGAAGTTTGCATTTTCATAATAAATTTAAATATTTTAAATCAGAAACATTAGTTAAAAGTCAGCAATAACTATCCAGAATACTTTCCATTTTTGTAAAGAATAAAACAAACAGCTTTTAAATTCAATTTTAATTTATTTTTGTAGGGTAGTGAAAATTTCGTTGATTGAAAACCCTTAAACTTCCTTGTTTTTGTTAACCCGCACACATTCTTTTCTTCCCTTTTAAACTCCCCCACGTTTTCCCACTCTATAAGCCCGTTTCTTGTTCTGTTGCATGATGGATTCGGTTCCATGCCATTTAATGCAATTACGCAAAGCTTACATTGCCCATTTTTCCGGACTCCCCCGCAGCGGTTGATATAAATCAGATATGGGAAAAAAATGAAGCGGACGACGGAAATTTTTGATGGCAGCCCTGACATTTTTAAGTGACAGACACTGGCCATGCAGAGAGCTTAAATTATTCATTTGATTTACGGCAAAAACATAAATTCACCGCAGCCTGGGCGGCCCTGTCCCAATGAGCAGGAGTTGCATATTAAAATGGATTTATATCAAATTATGTATCATCTGTCAGACAAACTGCCAAAGTGCACAGAGAGAAATGGGTGGGATTTTTGAAGTCAAAATGTTGTCTGCTTTTTTTATGAGAAAGAAGTTTTTAATAACCCAATTTTGCAGATTACTTTTGTACATTTTCCTAACGCAGTTCACTGAGTTTGTTTTTATTTTCTTCTTAGTTAAATTACAAACTAACACATATTTTCTTTAGGTGTAATAAGAGAAAGGAGAGTGGGTATAGCTAGGCAATCTCTCTTGGACATGGAACTACTCTCAGCGCCTTACAACTCGGGAGACATGTCGAAAGTTGCGCGACGTCTGTCGTTAGTGGATGTGTTAAGTAGAGAATTGTAAGAAGGTGGGCGTCATCAGCTGCAAAGAGTGGAGAAGGGGGCCGTGGCAGTGGGCTAAGACGAAGGCAAACAGACAGGCGACAAATCCACACCGCAGCTGCAAATAGAGTGCAAGAGAGTGGGAAAGAGGTTAGACATGAGCGTTAAGAGCATTAGACTAAACTTTGCCTTCGCCTTGATGTATGTATATATGCAATGTCCTAATAGAAAATCCCCCAAAAAATATGGCAATGATGCTGGGTTAGCATGCGGCAGGGGAATAAACAGAAAGGGGGAAATAGAATCTCGATTCTACTTACAGACCAACATTTATCGTCAGTGCAAAAAGTCTGACATGGCCAAATATTCTTTGCTATAGGAAAGTTTTTCAAGGAAGAACCTAAAATCCTTATTTCCTGTAAGGAGACTTCTAGAATGAAGTTAAAAAGTTATATCAATCCAAATCCTGGATATATTGTTGCTTTCATTTCATACTTTATGATTTCTAAGACCTCTCTCTATATTAGTTATAGAAACTTGTAGTAATAATCACATCATTAACACCCATAAAAGTCAGGCCAGTCGTAGGAAAAACCTTTCTTATCTTTCCGCTGGAAGCCCATCTGATATTGATAATAATCCCTAACTTTCGAGTTCACTCTTTTTTCCGAATTGGTTTTCCTATACTTCTACTTTTTTTTTTTGTTTGCATTTTCCCAGCCGCCTGCTGTTCGTTGGCTGGCAGAGTGAAAAGTTTTCCGCCTTCCACCGGCTGCTGGCAGCTGTTGCGTGTTTTGGACCCATCCGCATCATCCCAGCAGAAATACAAAAAAACGAAAACAAGAACAAACCACCGGGGCAGCAAAAAATTACTCGAGCTTAGAGGCAGTTGCTGTTGTCTGCTTTCAGGCGTTAAAAGAAACCAACAAACCCGAGTTCTAGCCATAAAGGGAGTCAAAGATTTGGCCAAAGATCGATATGCCAACAAACAGAACAACAACACAAAAAAAAAAACGAAAATGTAAATAGAGTTCTCCTTTTCGTATAGGGGAGAAAATGTTGCGTTTTGGCCAGGCAGTATAGACCACAAAATCTCATCACGTTGTGCAAATACGGCCGCATGCCAGCCAGGCGTTCGAGTGTAGACTAAAAAATGGCCGCAAATAGCTTTGGGCTAGAAAGTAGGGCCGCTTTTCACACTTGGAAATCGATTACGCAGCTGTGATCTGACACGCCCCCTGTTTTCCCGCGCTCGAACATAGGGCGTGTGTGTCTGTGTGTGTGTGGTTGTGAAAGTTTTTGTTTTGTTTTTTGGCAAATCACGTATTGGCAATTGCTTACACGCTGATTGAGTCCGAAGGCTTAAGGCCTAATTAGGTGGCCCCCAAGAGAACGATTCACATTCTGCCATTTCATGGCAGTCAAATCAACGGAACTGCAGCTCAAGTTACCCATCTTGAAGTTTCATTTGTCATACGAAAGCTGCACTGAGAGAAAATGCTTTAGATGGGAACAGAGGAAACGGAAAGAGATATATGATATTTCCTGTATATATTTCTTGCAATATTTACTCTCACTGTACTAAAGGAAAACCTCAATCAGCTTGAAGCTCCAGCTGGGGGTCTGAGTTTTAGTCTGAGTTCGAGACAGCTGAAGACAACAGGGCGACACGAGGAATTTCTTCATTTACAGGAGACGGTTTGTGGTGAAAGTTGCTGACATGGCAAAGACAACAGGGCCCAAAAAAAGGAGGAAGGGAGTCCGAGGGAGAGAGAGAGAGAGCTGGCAATAGAGGGGGGGAGAGAGCCGCTTGACGGCTTGTTGCGGTTGTGGTCGCGATGTTGGGTTTTAGATTTTTGCCAGCTGCTGCCGCTGCTGCTGCTGTTGTGCCCCCTTGCATGCCAT